TGACAACATTAACACAGTAAAACAGGTCTCTTTCTTAAACAGAAGCCTGTCATGCTTAACTTTTGAGAATATAAGTAAATCTTTCTTTAAAAGAACTCTGTCCTGCTTAACTTAAAATTATATAAATTAATAGAAAACAATAGAACAAAATCATTCTTGTAACAGTGCACATATAGTGCATTTAGTACAATTGGCTTCAGTTGAGGTATTATTTCAGCTTTTCTAATGCTAATCAGCTGCTCCTGTTTGTAAACCCACTTGTTCCCATGATTACGCATCATAACTCATCATCATTATTCATCTATGTATTACTTTTATGTATTAGTCATCTATTTGTTGTAATCATCTATCCTTGCAGTTGTTTATTACACAAAATAAATTATATTATCACACTTCTGGCCACATAGCGCTGATATTCACTGCACATGCCCATATTAACCTTAACCAGAGGGTTTAAAAAAAACAAACCAGTGTTTACATACCATATCTGCTTCTGCCGTGGCCTGGTGGACAAGAAATTGGTTAAGGGTTCCCCGAGCTTTCACGCCCCTCATGTTCTTCATGTGCCCACCACTAGAAGCATGCCTATGGAAAAAGTGCGCCAGCACACAGTGCAGTGCGCTTTATAGGTGTTATCGTGCACTTTTCCAGCCAGGTGTTTTCCTTTTCCCATTCCTCCCTGTACTTTTGCAGCCTTTTTTGGTCACAAAGCAGGAGAGGGGCTGGGAATTATGTTTTCAAACAAAGCGTTAATTCCGTAAACATTTATAGACTACTTTTGATTCTCACTGTATTACGGGACAAAGTGCGTCCCTTATTAGCTCAATACGGGACGTGTACTTTTGTTTCTAAATACGGGACGATTCCGTTTTTTAAGGGACGGTTGGCAACCCTATGGTATACAGAAGAAAAGAATATATGGCAATATATATAGTTACCGCACATTCTTCAAATTATACTGCAATATGGATTTCAGGCCATATCGCCCAGCCCTGAAGTGGGTGCCTTTTAATTAAAAGGTGGGTCAACAGTTCACAAATTAGCATCTTGCCAGATGAGCAATTATCACCAACATAGCCTTCCAAGTTTAATCCATAAATTTGTGATAAATAAATTGGTGATTTCAGTGTGTCTCTGTGAGCCTGCTGGATAGGCTGACTCGCTGCACACGCTCGCTTTTATAGACAGCTGAGTGGAAGATTCATGTTCACAACTGCTGCATTGTTTTTCTTTGCCTTCATGTGCTCATTTTTCAGCAGTTTAGGCAATTACATACATTAGGTATTGCTTTGCAATGCAGCAGCCATAGAGTTTGTTCTTTGTTAACTACGCTTATCCAAAGTAGTTCAAAGTAACACACGATGATCCAACTCAAGGGGCAAGCTTCTGCTAACATGAGCACAGTAATGACAGTTAAGGCTGGGTTCACTACTCAAACTGTGAGTTTTAGTTATTTCACAATAAAAGCTCTCTGCAGTTGTGAAGTGAGCCCCCATCTTTGGGTCCTGCTGGCAAAGGGATAAGAACGACAATGCTGTGCACAGCTGTGGAGTTGAACTCTCAGGCTGAAGAAATAGGCTATTAGTCTGTTTTAGATACTTTCAGTAGGAAATTACAAAATCTATATTATTATAACTATTACTAGCAAACCTCATTCATTTGTTGCACAGTCGCAGTCTTCAACCATTCAGGTTTAAGTGATACAATTAGTGTTAGATAGTATTATGGTGTACTTGTAAGTAGCAAAAACAAAGTGTTTGTGTGTTATTTTTTGTGTGTGTGTGTGTGTGTGTGTGTGTGTGTGTGTGTGTGTGTGTGTGTGTGTGTGTGTCTCAGCAGTTACAGAAGAGCCAGAATACATGATAGTATGACAGCCAAAGCATGGAGTACATCTGAATAACTAAGGCATGTTTGTTTCAGCAAAATTCTGTTTTTGTTTTTTTACATTCTCATTTTAATACTTTTTTTTGGAGGGGGGGGGGGGGATAGCGTCTCCACACACTGTCCTGCAAACCATAATTTTTATTAGATCACAGCGAAGCAGAGGCACAGTGTTCATGCAAACGTTTGCACAAATATTTGGTAAGATTAGGCCATATAGCAGCTCAAGAGCACGCTCAGTGACAGACTGAGATTACCCACAATGCACCACTGAATGACACAGGGAATCATTCCTGACTGTGGTCATCTCCCTGTAAACTCCATCTAATACACTGTAAACACTGCAATAGTTATACCTTTCTGCACACGCTCTACAGTAACACAGCAAATGACAAAGTTCACAGGTTAGAGTCAATGTCAGTCCTATATATTCTCACCTCTGTAATATTCATATTGATGTTTATTATTGAGTGATTTGTATACATTACTGCTATCTGTTAAATCTGTAACATATTGTATTATGCAGTCAGCTCAGTCTGTTACTGTTACTGTCTTGGAGCGACTGTAAGCCACATCATTTCCTTAGCAATTAATAAAGTATGCTGATTCTGAATTAGGGATTCCTGGTTAGACATCTCACACGTGCATACCACTAGTCAGGTAATCTTGTGATCATGTCTCCAAAAACACGCCATGCTACATCACCCCCGACCTAAAACCACACATGTCTGCTGGACATCCTAAAAACATCACTTAGAAATGAACACGCATATGTACTCAGTTTACAGCAATGCTTTAGTTAATTCAGCACAGAGGTTTAAGAAAATGCAAACATCATCATTTACACAAATTATATGTCAGACTACGTTGGGCGTTGTTACTCGACACTTGTGTCACATTTGTCCATCTGAAAGTTTTTACCAAAGCAAGATAAGAAACAAAAAGAGAAAGTGTTACATAAAAATAATCACGTAACCATGAACATAAATGTTGGGCCAGCTCTGTGTAAAGACGTAAGCATTGCTCAGACGAAGAAACCCTCACTCGCCATCATGTGTTCAGCAAATGATCAAAATCTCTTCCCATAAGAAAAGTGAAAAGCATCAGCACATTTGACAGTTTCCTGTGTGTTTCCCCTCAGAAGGACAGATGAGTGTTACGTCCTTACACACACTGGCTTCCTCTGCTGTATGTTTAATGGTCTGAAGAAAACGCTGCTGATCTTGGCAGCACACTCGCTTCTCTCTCTTCTTTGCCTCGTTTCCTGGAGCACAACCTATTTTTCTATTCCAGTCCTGTGAATATAAAGACATAAATCCAGAGTCATCTGTTTTGGTCTGACTCCATTACAGGACATTCAGCTTCACAGGACTTGGCCAAGTTGTTTCTTGACGCGATCACCTGTATAAGGTTATTGTTTGACACATCTATGTTTCCTCTAAGTTACAAACACCCATGTGTTGTGGAAAAGAAGCTTATTTATAATATCAGTGGCTAACACTGTGTGCGATGCTAACAGTCTGTCAGTATTTGTAAATCACGTGGTGTTCTTGTTTGGTCCTCCGTACATGTTTATGTATCTGACACATTGAAATCGTAGTTTTCAGTAGACCAGCTTGCCTTAAGCCGACTAATTAGCCATAACCACACAGCCTATCACTGCTTCTGTTACTGCTAAGCACTCTTAATAAAAACAGACACTCTATTAAACTAAACTGTCTAACATAGCAGTAATGCCCTTTCACTGACATGTTGTGTAATCTTCTTAATGCAGCATTTCTGCCAGCTTAGTACGAGCCTGTTAGCCTGCTATGATGAAGCTGACACACCCCAGTCTTAGTAATCTGAGTGCATTTATTTATTTTACACAAAAGGTGCAAGCGTCATGTCAGCTGATGTATTTGTTCAGCCTCCTGATTCTGTTTAAAGTATAAAAACAAACAATATAAAGACTGAAGATGTTAAAGTAAAACCAGGAACAATCTTACCTGGTGAGGTGATTAGTGCACACTCATGGTTACGCTTGCTTAAACTGGATCGTTGTTTTACAACTTACATTCCCAGTAACTGGAAAGAAGGAGAAAGTCTTATTGATCCTGATAAAGACACAAAAGGTAAAGTAAGCATACCGTCTGTCTGCATCATAGACGATAAAAACATGGCTGGAGCTGCCAAAACCACGTGCACGAAGGACTGTGAGACCACGTGCTCGTTGGCTGAAACAAACACGAGTCATTAGTCATGTTTGATATGACCCAGATTTACAAAATAGACAAGATAGAATTTACTGCTAACAAACAATGAAATGGTAATTATAATTTATTATTAATAAATTACTGCAATTTAAAAAAGCATCTGTAAAAAGTTTGGAATAAGTCTGAAATAAAAGTTTTCAGAGGAGATTATAGAAACTGTAGAGCTGAAACAAATGTCATGTATCGCTCACGTGGAGACTTTAAATCATTGGCAGCCAAGAAAACTACAAAAATGTAAATTTATAAGCACATGTGAATATCAGTAAGGAACTAGAACTTTACAAGTTTAATCAATGCTGTTGACACACCGCAGGCATAAAACCGATCAATTACATAGTTAACCTTTAGTGACACGAATCGTTAAAACTAATTGGTCTGTTCCTGTTTATGGGCGACTTCTGGCTTCCAGGCCTCAGTGGGTTACTATTACGTTTACACATGGATGTGTCACGCTGTGTCGTCACCATCACACTCACTGTTCCACGGTGTTTATGGGAGATGCAGCTGATTAATATCAAGGACAGAAGGTGAAAAGCAGGGGCTGAATTTTCACAATAAGAGCGAGGGGACGATGTACTGTGAAGTGATTGTAAAGGTCTTTCTCTCAAACAGAGTGAAGGCGTTTTAAATAATCCCTCCCTCTCCCCTTTCTATGGATTCTGCTGACTTGCTGTTATTAATGTTGTGTGTGTTAACTGAAGTTTACTTAAGTTACTTCTGCTCTACATCTACTGAAGAGTTATTAAGATGTGAAATGCTTATAGTGATGTAACCGTAACAGATTACAGTGTTGGTGTGTCTCCTAGGAACGGTGATCCAATGGTGAGATTCATGCTGATATTCTCTCTCCCTGCATCTCTCCAGGGCCCTTCAGGACTGAAGGCATCAAGGCCTCTGACGTTCTTCCTATTTTAAAGGAAAAAGTTGCCTTTGTGTCAGGTGAGTGTCAGTCAGTGTTGTTGGTGTTAAATCCACAACCCTCCAGTCTGTTTCAGGAGAACTTTACATCAGCCCCCTGAGTGTCCTACAGCAAAGAGCCTGTCCCCGCCACCATGGTCATGCAGGACGAACACAGAGGTGTTTGAAGCATTAGGAGCTATTCTTCATGTTTAGTAACATTGTTTGATAGTTAAGAATGTTTTGAAATTTATATAATCTTTTCATGTTGAAGACAAAAAGATGGGATTTTTTTCAGTCATAAGGAAAAGGACCAGTAAGAAGAATGTCCCGTGGACTGTCCACAGTCCTGTTTAGAATATAGTCGAGTATATTATTACTCACATATCTGCCCACGTGAAAAGCTCATTGGACTCACGCACATCCTGAGGCAGGAAAGGCAGAGGGAAGATCATCCAATCTATTCACACCATGGGAACGTCTCTCCTCTGCCCTTAGAGCTCATTCACTGCCAAAGCAAACATCCAAACAACACACCAGTGTGGCCGGCACACTCTCCTACACATAGTTTAACAAGCAATCTAACGTTGGAAGTTTGGAAGATGAACATGTGCTTCACTGTTCCCCTGCTTTTATTTTGAAACCTGCATCACTCTGATCCATTCCAACAATGTTAAAAAGACACTGAGAAGAAAACTGTGCGACACCTGAACAACAGAACTGTTGAGGGCAGCGTTGCTGCTCAACACGTCTGCAGCCCCTGCTGATGACCAGCAGGATGTGTCGCAGCTTGTGGGATGAGCACATGTTGACTGTCTCCCCTTTTAACCTCTAGTGGTTCAGTCCAGAACCTATTTGGTTTGTGGCTTAACCAATCAGCCAATACCACCTCGTTAAATGTTAATTGGTCAGCTGGTTTATTTGTGAAGGTGTGATTGGTCCATTTTTTTTTCATAGCTATTTTTTTTGTGGTCACTTAATAAAGTGGTAACACTTTACTTACACTTTAAGTGTCGCTGGACGTCATTCCACTGATTCACATGTAGATGTAAACTCACCCTGGATTACCTGCCTGAACACGTGTGTTTTGGCTTTAAGGTTTTTCTTGTGCATCTACTTGCAGGTGGACGAGATAAACGAGGAGGACCAATTCTGACATTTCCTGCCAGGAGCAACCATGACCGAATAAAACCCGAGGACCTGAGGAGGCTAGTAACTCACTCACACTCACTTACTCACCAGTACTCACAGCAACAACAGCCAACACACACACACACACTCACACACACACACACACACACACACACACACACACACACACACACACACGTCTGTTACAGGAGTATCATCTGTTGTCTTTCTACTAGCCGCTCTATTAGGACATTTAGTTAGACTCAAGTGTGACGGGCACTTAAGGAAGCAGTGAAGGCTGGAGTGGACATTTAAGCAATTAAGTGCTTCCTTGTAGTCTGTTACAACAGCAGGCGTAGACCAGTGTTTAATTTGCATCAGCATGAAAGCTGCAGTGTTTGCAGCACACAAGAGCCGGTCTGTGAGCACTCACACAGTCTGAGGGTGTTACAAGGAAAGCAGTCGAAATATTAGGCACAGGCCTGCCCCAGTCATTCTGCACACAGGAACGTTTTCGTTTTGGTCTCATAGTTTTTAATATCGTTTCAGTTAACCTCTGGGGGGTCCTAGAAAAATGCATACACTATTGGGCTTAGAGCCACAAATCGACCACGCCATGAAAAGTGCCATAAAATATCTATATATTAATATTTTTTTCCACTTTAAATTAGCCAATCTTTTAGACCTACTTCTCCTTGAAATATTCATATCAAGTTTTAATTACATTTCGCGGATTTTAACCCTTTATATCCCGGTTTCGTCACATGGCCGCACTGTTTTTTTAGCCCCAAAAAACAAAGAAATCAAATATTTCCCAAAAGATACAATTCCAAGGCCCGGACTCCCGAGTACCACCAACATTCGGAAGATGGCCCATTATTTGGTTGTAATGACCGTGGAATGGGAAATAGCGTTTATAATGGGTTTCAATGGGGCACAAATCGACCACTAGGACCAATAGTGTAAGTTTATCTGTAGCTCAGCCACTGAAGCTAATTTAAGGGAGTCAGACTGGAATTTTGAAATATATGTAACCAGACTTTTTTTTGGAAAAGTTGGCTATATTCCGTTCAACACAGTGCAAATGGCGTGTATACGAACAATGAAAAATGGCACAAATCGACCCAAGACCACCCAGAGGTTAAGTTGATTTAAAGCAGCGGTTCTCAAACTGTGGGGCAGGCAGCATTTAGACGACCACAGGAAAAAAATCCAGTTAAAATGTGTTCAGTTAGTAGTAGTTTTTTTTAGCAGGTGATTTTTAAAGCTAAAATTAAATTGCAATCTCTTTTTAGCAGTTGTGGGGTGCATGAATTTATTTATCATCCAGAGACATGCAGCTTGTGGGGATAGGTTAGTTGATTAATCCAAATTGCCCGTAGGTGTGAATGTGAGTGCGACTGGTTGTCTGTCCCTGTGTGTTGGCCCTGCGACAGACCTGTCCAGAGTGGACCCCGCCTCTCGCCCTGTGACAGCGGGGATAGGCTCCAGCGCCCCCCACGACCCTGAAAAGGATAAGTGGAAGCTTATGGATGGATGGATCTAAAGTTTGTCCAGAATCATTTTAAATGTAAAATGTATCAGGATGAAAGCTTGAACATGCATGAGTAAAATAACTGAGTTATACAGTGAAATGCTGTAAACACACATGCACATAATATAAAATGCTGCCTGTTCAGATACAGTGTGCTGACAGTGTTAAGCATCATTCAGCCGTCTGACTGATCTGGTAAATATCTGCACAAACCTTTCTACATTCTTTAATCGTCTTGATCGAAATGATTTGATTTAACTTATTCGAGACCCACATTTCACTGAGTCGTGCACAGAGGAATTCAAAATGTAAAGTAAAAATAGCTGTGCAAAGGGCTGAGACCACTGCCGGGTCATTTCCAGACTGATGCCAGAATTTGAGAGGTTTGTCAAGATGATGCTTCAGCCCAATGGGTGGTGGTAGATCAGACCATGTGACAGTAGAGGACTGCAGTGAGAGTGGCCTTATGCCGTCCTGCGTGTAGCTGAGACTCTTCAGAATGGACCCCAAACACATCCGTCACATGTGAGTGAGCCCGAGGATAAAGGGCGGCCAGTTTGTGTTTAGAGACGACTGCTGAAGAAGGAAATGTGACAGAACACGGTGGTGACGTGTTATAGAAAGTTTGCAACCAGAGCCTTTGACAATAATCTGTACTGTCAGAGACTAATGCACACATAAATGCATTTACCCACTTTTGCTAATCGAACTGCTGTTTCCAGGGTGACGGGGTCTGTCTGCAGGTTATAATGGATGAACTGACTTTATATTAATAGACTCTGCATGTTACTGAAGGTGGAGCTGTGGCACTCGAATCAGCTGCAGTAACTGAATTTTAGGCACTGAGTTGTGGCAGTTTGGGTTCAGTTCAGTTGTTATGCTGCAGTTCCTCTGAGTCAGGCACTGAACTGCTTGAGTTTCTGTCTGTTTATGGCTCTGATTGGGAGAAATCTTCTCAACTGTCAGCTTCAAGAAGCCATCGTCCAGCACTTGAGCTGTGCTCAACAAACGCCTGCATGTGGATGTTCTGTGCTAGAGGTAGATACATGCACACATCTGGTTGCACTGAAAGAAAGGAAAACACTGAAAACTGCCACTTTGTTACCTCAATATTAAAGTACAGCTCCCCCTGATTCCTGCTTACTCTTGTTTCAGCTGGAAACATAATGTTCCCTCGTAGAAACAGTACGTTTCATTCCTGCAGAGCCCTCCGCTGCAGCTTCTTCTTTTATTATTGCAGCGTGTTTAGTTTCTTCTGCAAACAGAAAACAGTTTACCTGCTCAGAACGTCAAACACGTCCATGCTGGAATATATCATCCAGATTATCTGATGGGATTGCACTTATGTTTTACCTGCAGTGTGACTGTCACTTACAGGCCACAGCAGAGCAGAATAAGATTGACGTCTTCTGCTAAATGTCCCTCTGAAAGTTTCCTTTAAATATCAAACATATTCAGACTGCTGACGACACCAGTGAAACAAGGCTGCCGCCTCAGGCGCTCCCCGTCTGTGGGGCAACCACAAATGCATTGTCTGGTTCACTTTAAGTCTCGTATAACAGGGATACTAATCATTTCCTCTGAGCCTCTTCTGCCTCCTCATCTTGTTTGTCTGTGTCCCGTCAGCGAGGACGTATGCAAACGTGGCTTCACTGTCATCATTGACATGCGAGGTTCAAAGTGGGAGCTGATTAAGCCTCTGCTCAAGACGCTGCAGGAGTCTTTCCCAGCTGAGATCTGTGTGGCTCTCATCATTAAGCCCGACAACTTTTGGCAGAAACAGAAGACGAACTTCGGGAGTGCAAAGTTCTCTTTTGAGGTCAGTGGGCTTTGTGTGTTTTACCCAACACGGCTTTGATCGTTCAAAGGAAACCTTATTAACAGTAAGATTATTAGAGATTAGTGCTGTAATGCTATTTGTGTGGCAAACTGATAATAACTAATAATACTTTCAGGCATCATTGATTTCCACAAGCTGCCATTATGATTTACGCATGTATTTATATATGTGGCACAGATGCTGCAGTCACTACACTGTAGTAAGAACATGAAGCACCGCAGGTAGTCAGAACTCACCTCTAACCTGTGTCTGTGTGAACAGACCAACATGGTGTCAGTTGAAGGTCTTGCCAAGCTAGTGGATCCCTCCCAGCTCACAGACGACTTTGAAGGCTCGCTGGACTACAACCACGAGGAGTGGATGGATCTCAGGGTGTCATTGGAGGAGTTCATGTCCAATGCTGTTCATCTGCTGTCCAGACTGGAGGATCTGCAGGTGGGGGCAGCAAAGGCTCAAAGAATGGGAGTAACTGCTATGGCCGATATGACCAGTGTTTCCTGTCTTCTGCAGGAGCTCCTGTCCAAGAAGGACTTTCCTGCAGATGTGGAAGGCTCTCGGCGACTGATAGAGGAACACACCCAGCTTAAGAAAAAGGTGAGTCACTATCAGTACAGGTGCAGACACAGTCAGAGACTTTGTTATCACTCTAGATCGAGCTGTGCTAAAGCCAGCACAATTCAGTGTTCTCCTACTATTAATGAGAGGATTGAACTGTGCAAAGCCACTGAAGCTACTCTCCTGCAGGTGCTAAAGGCTCCAGTGGAGGAATTAGACCAGGAAGGCCAGAGGCTGCTCCAGTGTATCAGATCGAGTGATGGCTTTTCAGGGAGAAACTGCATCTCAGGCTCAGCTGACTTTCAGAGCCTTGTGCCCAAGGTAAGCAACGTCCAGCACCAGCAAAGATCTCCCAGCATACAGTTTTTTATTTAAGCTAAGGTTAACACAGGCTGGCCCCAAACAAGAATAGTAGCTTCTGTTATGGTTTATCTATACTTTCTGATGCAAACAAAACTTTGAACCTAGACATGAGAATTGCTGTGGCACATTCAGATACTAATGCATCCATGCATGATGCTTGCAGATGCTTTTGGCCTTATATAAGAGTACTTACTGGAATATTAACTGCAAACCTGTAGGTATACTTTCATGCCTACATAATCAGGGCCCACATTGTACATGATCAGTAACGTTGACCGCTTTGAGGCCACTGTTGTTGTGATTTGGTGCTATATAGATAAAAGTGAACTGAGTCTAGATGATTATTGACAGTTTTGTTCATAACTAAATGAAACTCACATCCTTCCAGCTGCTGAATGCTTAAAGCACATGGTATCATAACACAAGTCCACAGCCTTATTTTTTCTCATTAGCCAGCTCGTTAGCAACCCTCATTATCTGACAAGTGCTGGCTGCATATTAGCTCATTAGCCAAAGGACTCCACAGGGAAAATTTGAGTGCAGAACTTGTTTGCATTAAGCACATGAAGTACATGTGCACTGCCTGCGTGAGCAGCATTTACATTGATGTATGAGTGTGAGACATCTTTCATATTTAAATCTGTGCTTTACGTTTTGGATTAAAGAGGATCATAAAGGCAATATCAAACCGGCCAATGGCATGCGAGTGAGAAGGTGAGGCTAAACTGTGGAATTATAAACATGCAGGTGCTGTTTTGTTCCCCACTTGTGCACCTGCAGTACTAAACACAGCAGTAACACAGCAGTGTAAAAGATAGACGTAATGAACTGTTGGTTCAATCCAAAGAAAACCTGCCATCACATTCAGATCAGAAGTGATGTGCTGAATGAAATGTAAGACACACTCGATGAGCTTGCTGTTGTCATGTGACACATTGTGCTTTTCCTGACAGGTGGCCAGTCTGCTGGATAAGCTGCATTCCACCAGGCAACATCTCCATCAGATGTGGCATGTCAGGAAACTGAAGCTGGACCAGTGCTTCCAGCTGCGCCTCTTTGAACAGGATGCAGAAAAAGTGAGTTACACCTAAATATGACCAGAGTGTGAGGAAGGACGAGGCTGGGATGAGTACAAAGACATCAGGGGCCTGTGCTGGCGTGTGCACCAGCTCTGATATAATGCTGTTATGCATGCCTCATTCACCTGCACTGCTTTCTGTTAAACGCACTGGGGTTAGTATACCTGACCTGCAGACTAGAGCAGCCAGGGATTGAATGACCAGCCTTAGCTGACCTGTGCTACATCCTGAGCTGCAGCCACAGTTCAGCATATCGAGGCTATCTTCTTCTTCTTTGGGTTTGACATTGAAAGATAAGGCTAAGCTTTCACACTGAGGTAGTTATCAGCTGGATAATATGTTGTTCGTCTGCTGTTTCGGCCTGGCAAACCTTCAATTGCCTTCAAGTTTCCTCAGATAATTTCAGGACACACTTTGTCGCTTGCTTGCGTTTCATACTGAGGTACAGTGGGGCAAAAAAGTATTTAGTCAGCCACCGATTGTGCAAGTTCCCCCACCTAAAATGATGACAGAGGTCAGTAATTTGCACCAGAGGTACACTTCAACTGTGAGAGACAGAATGTGAAAAAAAATCCATGAATCCACATGGTAGGATTTGTAAAGAATTTATTCGTAAATCAGGGTGGAAAATAAGTATTTGGTCAATAACAAAAATACAACTCAATACTTTGTAACATAACCTTTGTTGGCAATAACAGAGGTCAAACGTTTACTATAGGTCTTTACCAGGTTTGCACACACAGTAGCTGGTATTTTGGCCCATTCCTCCATGCAGATCTTCTCGAGAGCAGTGATGTTTTGGGGCTGTCGCCGAGCAACACGGACTTTCAACTCCCGCCACAGATTTTCTATGGGGTTGAGGTCTGGAGACTGGCTAGGCCACTCCAGGACTTTCAAATGCTTCTTACGGAGCCACTCCTTTGTTGCCCGGGCGGTGTGTTTTGGATCATTGTCATGTTGGAAGACCCAGCCTCGTTTCATCTTCAAAGTTCTCACTGATGGAAGGAGGTTTTGGCTCAAAATCTCACGATACATGGCCCCATTCATTCTGTCCTTAACACGGATCAGTCGTCCTGTCCCCTTGGCAGAAAAACAGCCCCATAGCATGATGTTTCCACCCCCATGCTTCACAGTAGGTATGGTGTTCTTGGGATGCAACTCAGTATTCTTCTTCCTCCAAACACGACGAGTTGAGTTTATACCAAAAAGTTCTACTTTGGTTTCATCTGACCACATGACATTCTCCCAATCCTCTGCTGTATCATCCATGTGCTCTCTGGCAAACTTCAGACGGGCCTGGACATGCACTGGCTTCAGCAGCGGAACACGTCTGGCACTGCGGGATTTGATTCCCTGCTGTTTCCACACGGCTCCCTCCGCCAGCCGTGACACTTTGTGAGTATTTCTTACACGGCGTGCTGTGGGGAAAAGCCTGTTCTAACGTTTGAGTCTAAGGTTTATTTTTTAGCACCTGGCGGCTCTTTTTTACTTCTCATCCGTAAATAATCTGCATCTTTCAGGTGATTCAGTTTATTTTGAAAAGTCTCAACAGGATCTTGAGCTTTATTGTGAAAGGTTTATGTGGAACATAAACAAGCGGACACGCGATGGTGTTACCATCGTTGTTGCTAACGACAACCCATTAACAAAACAGTCGCTTGTCTGTCTGTAGTGTGGTTATATTAAATATAAGAGAAAGAGAGAACTTTAAGAAATTAATAATAACTACAGTGACCATCAGAACCATGAAAAAATATTGCTGTAAACAGTTTATTTTGCGACGCCACGAAACAAATGATAGCGTAAAATGAAACGTTAGACGTTTCTATATCGTCATCCGATATATATCGTTATATCGAACAGCCCTACTTTGTTGTGCTGTGCCTGCCCTTCAAATTGAAATTTCATTTCACTCAACTTAAACACAACGCACACATCTTCTTCCATTAGTAACAGCTAGCAAATGTTTCAGGTGGTTTCTGGATAATTTCAGTGTAACTGTAAGGACGCACACATGCACACATAAATGCATATTAAACAACACATGCTTCTGTAACCACAGCTGTGTCACTACCATTGAATGACATGAGATGAGGAAAACACACGTTAGATTAAAGGTGTGTGACAGACTGAAAGCATGAAGACAAGCCACCTTCAAACCAACCATGCCCGACACTTATGGTTCATTTTCACACTTGTTGTTCTGCACCTAGACTGATAGTGACATGAACAACATAGTACAAGGTTACACTCTTTGGTCATCATCTTTGTCTTTTTGGAACACCTGCATAGAAAAGCTTCCAAAACAAAAACCAAAATATATGAGACTTAATTAAACATATAACAACTTCTAGTTCCTGAAAACGTGTGTATTTAGCTCTTGGTTGAAACAAAACCCAGTCCTAAGAGCCTGGGGCAGAGCTTTTGGTTTGAATTTCATGCTCTGATGGTCCCAGTAAGTTCAAACCAGAGTGTGTCGCGTTGCTGCAGGACACTGTGGTAGCTGTGCTCATTATCTGTTGCCTTGAATTCAGCATAAATCTCCAACTCATTGCCCAAAAGTGTTTCACGGCACAGGATAAAAAACAAATGGGTGAATGTGGCCAAAGAAAGACAGAAGATGCTGAGTATGTACTGATTTTATGCACAAAATAAAGTCCGTATTCACCGAATAGAAGAAGAAACACATCCAGTGTACCTCCATGAGGGATTGGACTGTACCACAGTACTTGGCAGCTGTCTCTCTTTTCCCATCTTTTTGTACACACGTCGTTGCTACTTTTGAAAAAGTAACTGCCGCAGAGGATAACATCTTTTGTCTAAGGTGCTGTCTAATTGCATTGGTGATTTCAGTGTGTCTCTGTGAGCCTGCTGGATAGGCTGACTCGCTGCACACGCTCGCTTTTATAGACAGCTGAGTGGAAGATTCATGTTCACAACTGCTGCATTGTTTTTCTTTGCCTTCATGTGCTCATTTTTCAGCAGTTTAGGCAATTACATACATTAGGTATTGCTTTGCAATGCAGCAGCCATAGAGTTTGTTCTTTGTTAACTACGCTTATCCAAAGTAGTTCAAAGTAACACACGATGATCCAACTCAAGGGGCAAGCTTCTGCTAACATGAGCACAGTAATGACAGTTAAGGCTGGGTTCACTACTCAAACTGTGAGTTTTAGTTATTTCACAATAAAAGCTCTCTGCAGTTGTGAAGTGAGCCCCCATCTTTGGGTCCTGCTGGCAAAGGGATAAGAACGACAATGCTGTGCACAGCTGTGGAGTTGAACTCTCAGGCTGAAGAAATAGGCTATTAGTCTGTTTTAGATACTTTCAGTAGGAAATTACAAAATCTATATTATTATAACTATTACTAGCAAACCTCATTCATTTGTTGCACAGTCGCAGTCTTCAACCATTCAGGTTTAAGTGATACAATTAGTGTTAGATAGTATTAGTGTGTACTTGTAAGTAGCAAAAACAAAGTGGTGTGTGTGTGTGTGTGTGTGTGTGTGTGTGTGTGTGTGTGTGTGTGTGTGTCTCAGCAGTTACAGAAGAGCCAGAATACATGATAGTATGACAGCCAAAGCATGGAGTACATCTGAATAACTAAGGCATGTTTGTTTCAGCAAAATTCTGTTTTTGTTTTTTTACATTCTCATTTTAATACTTTTTTTTGGAGGGGGGGGGGGTATAGCGTCTCCACACACTGTCCTGCAAACCATAATTTTTATTAGATCACAGCGAAGCAGAGGCACAGTGTTCATGCAAACGTTTGCACAAATATTTGGTAAGATTAGGCCATATAGCAGCTCAAGAGCACGCTCAGTGACAGACTGAGATTACCCACAATGCACCACTGAATGACACAGGGAATCATTCCTGACTGTGGTCATCTCCCTGTAAACTCCATCTAATACACTGTAAACACTGCAATAGTTATACCTTTCTGCACACGCTCTACAGTAACACAGCAAATGACAAAGTTCACAGGTTAGAGTCAATGTCAGTCCTATATATTCTCACCTCTGTAATATTCATATTGATGTTTATTATTGAGTGATTTGTATACATTACTGCTATCTGTTAAATCTGTAACATATTGTATTATGCAGTCAGCTCAGTCTGTTACTGTTACTGTCTTGGAGCGACTGTAAGCCACATCATTTCCTTAGCAATTAATAAAGTATGCTGATTCTGAATTAGGGATTCCTGGTTAGACATCTCACACGTGCATACCACTAGTCAGGTAATCTTGTGATCATGTCTCCAAAAACACGCCATGCTACATCACCCCCGACCTAAAACCACACATGTCTGCTGGACATCCTAAAAACATCACTTAGAAATGAACACGCATATGTACTCAGTTTACAGCAATGCTTTAGTTAATTCAGCACAGAGGTTTAAGAAAATGCAAACATCATCATTTACACAAATTATATGTCAGACTACGTTGGGCGTTGTTACTCGACACTTGTGTCACATTTGTCCATCTGAAAGTTTTTACCAAAGCAAGATAAGAAACAAAAAGAGAAAGTGTTACATAAAAATAATCACGTAACCATGAACATAAATGTTGGGCCAGCTCTGTGTAAAGACGTCCATCACAGGTGTCTAAAGTTGTTTGATTGCTCAGACGAAGAAACCCTCACTCGCCATCATGTGTTCAGCAAATGATCAAAATCTCTTCCCATAAGAAAAGTGAAAAGCATCAGCACATTTGACAGTTTCCTGTGTGTTTCCCCTCAGAAGGACAGATGAGTGTTACGTCCTTACACACACTGGCTTCCTCTGCTGTATGTTTAATGGTCTGAAGAAAACGCTGCTGATCTTGGCAGCACACTCGCTTCTCTCTCTTCTTTGCCTCGTTTCCTGGAGCACAACCTATTTTTCTATTCCAGTCCTGTGAATATAAAGACATAAATCCAGAGTCATCTGTTTTGGTCTGACTCCATTACAGGACATTCAGCTTCACAGGACTTGGCCAAGTTGTTTCTTGACGCGATCACCTGTATAAGGTTATTGTTTGACACATCTATGTTTCCTCTAAGTTACAAACACCCATGTGTTGTGGAAAAGAAGCTTATTTATAATATCAGTGGCTAACACTGTGTGCGATGCTAACAGTCTGTCAGTATTTGTAAATCACGTGGTGTTCTTGTTTGGTCCTCCGTACATGTTTATGTATCTGACACATTGAAATCGTAGTTTTCAGTAGACCAGCTTGCCTTAAGCCGACTAATTAGCCATAACCACACAGCCTATCACTGCTTCTGTTACTGCTAAGCACTCTTAATAAAAACAGACACTCTATTAAACTAAACTGTCTAACATAGCAGTAATGCCCTTTCACTGACATGTTGTGTAATCTTCTTAATGCAGCATTTCTGCCAGCTTAGTACGAGCCTGTTAGCCTGCTATGATGAAGCTGACACACCCCAGTCTTAGTAATCTGAGTGCATTTATTTATTTTACACAAAAGGTGCAAGCGTCATGTCAGCTGATGTATTTGTTCAGCCTCCTGATTCTGTTTAAAGTATAAAAACAAACAATATAAAGACTGAAGATGTTAAAGTAAAACCAGGAACAATCTTACCTGGTGAGGTGATTAGTGCACACTCATGGTTACGCTTGCTTAAACTGGATCGTTGTTTTACAACTTACATTCCCAGTAACTGGAAAGAAGGAGAAAGTCTTATTGATCCTGATAAAGACACAAAAGGTAAAGTAAGCATACCATCTGTCTGCATCATAGACGATAAAAACATGGCTGGAGCTGCCAAAACCACGTGCACGAAGGACTGTGAGACCACGTGCTCGTTGGCTGAAACAAACACGAGTCATTAGTCATGTTTGATATGACCCAGATTTACAAAATAGACAAGATAGAATTTACTGCTAACAAACAATGAAATGGTAATTATAATTTATTATTAATAAATTACTGCAATTTAAAAAAGCATCTGTAAAAAGTTTGGAATAAGTCTGAAATAAAAGTTTTCAGAGGAGATTATAGAAACTGTAGAGCTGAAACAAATGTCATGTATCGCTCACGTGGAGACTTTAAATCATTGGCAGCCAAGAAAACTACAAAAATGTAAATTTATAAGCACATGTGAATATCAGTAAGGAACTAGAACTTTACAAGTTTAATCAATGCTGTTGACACACCGCAGGCATAAAACCGATCAATTACATAGTTAACCTTTAGTGACACGAATCGTTAAAACTAATTGGTCTGTTCCTGTTTATGGGCGACTTCTGGCTTCCAGGCCTCAGTGGGTTACTATTACGTTTACACATGGATGTGTCACGCTGTGTCGTCACCATCACACTCACTGTTCCACGGTGTTTATGGGAGATGCAGCTGATTAATATCAAGGACAGAAGGTGAAAAGCAGGGGCTGAATTTTCACAATAAGAGCGAGGGGACGATGTACTGTGAAGTGATTGTAAAGGTCTTTCTCTCAAACAGAGTGAAGGCGTTTTAAATAATCCCTCCCTCTCCCCTTTCTATGGATTCTGCTGACTTGCTGTTATTAATGTTGTGTGTGTTAACTGAAGTTTACTTAAGTTACTTCTGCTCTACATCTACTGAAGAGTTATTAAGATGTGAAATGCTTATAGTGATGTAACCGTAACAGATTACAGTGTTGGTGTGTCTCCTAGGAACGGTGATCCAATGGTGAGATTCATGCTGATATTCTCTCTCCCTGCATCTCTCCAGGGCCCTTCAGGACTGAAGGCATCAAGGCCTCTGACGTTCTTCCTATTTTAAAGGAAAAAGTTGCCTTTGTGTCAGGTGAGTGTCAGTCAGTGTTGTTGGTGTTAAATCCACAACCCTCCAGTCTGTTTCAGGAGAACTTTACATCAGCCCCCTGAGTGTCCTACAGCAAAGAGCCTGTCCCCGCCACCATGGTCATGCAGGACGAACACAGAGGTGTTTGAAGCATTAGGAGCTATTCTTCATGTTTAGTAACATTGTTTGATAGTTAAGAATGTTTTGAAATTTATATAATCTTTTCATGTTGAAGACAAAAAGATGGGATTTTTTTCAGTCATAAGGAAAAGGACCAGTAAGAAGAATGTCCCGTGGACTGTCCACAGTCCTGTTTAGAATATAGTCGAGTATATTATTACTCACATATCTGCCCACGTGAAAAGCTCATTGGACTCACGCACATCCTGAGGCAGGAAAGGCAGAGGGAAGATCATCCAATCTATTCACACCATGGGAACGTCTCTCCTCTGCCCTTAGAGCTCATTCACTGCCAAAGCAAACATCCAAACAACACACCAGTGTGGCCGGCACACTCTCCTACACATAGTTTAACAAGCAATCTAACGTTGGAAGTTTGGAAGATGAACATGTGCTTCACTGTTCCCCTGCTTTTATTTTGAAACCTGCATCACTCTGATCCATTCCAACAATGTTAAAAAGACACTGAGAAGAAAACTGTGCGACACCTGAACAACAGAACTGTTGAGGGCAGCGTTGCTGCTCAACACGTCTGCAGCCCCTGCTGATGACCAGCAGGATGTGTCGCAGCTTGTGGGATGAGCACATGTTGACTGTCTCCCCTTTTAACCTCTAGTGGTTCAGTCCAGAACCTATTTGGTTTGTGGCTTAACCAATCAGCCAATACCACCTCGTTAAATGTTAATTGGTCAGCTGGTTTATTTGTGAAGGTGTGATTGGTCCATTTTTTTTTCATAGCTATTTTTTTTGTGGTCACTTAATAAAGTGGTAACACTTTACTTACACTTTAAGTGTCGCTGGACGTCATTCCACTGATTCACATGTAGATGTAAACTCACCCTGGATTACCTGCCTGAACACGTGTGTTTTGGCTTTAAGGTTTTTCTTGTGCATCTACTTGCAGGTGGACGAGATAAACGAGGAGGACCAATTCTGACATTTCCTGCCAGGAGCAACCATGACCGAATAAAACCCGAGGACCTGAGGAGGCTAGTAACCTACCTGTCTACTGTCCCCAGGTACTCACAATGCAATCACACACACACACACACACACACACACACACACACACACACACACACACACACGTCTGCCTTCATTTTCACGTTAGAGGTATCATCTGTTGTCTTTCTACTAGCCGCTCTATTAGGACATTTAGTTAGACTCAAGTGTGACGGGCACTTAAGGAAGCAGTGAAGGCTGGAGTGGACATTTAAGCAATTAAGTGCTTCCTTGTAGTCTGTTACAACAGCAGGCGTAGACCAGTGTTTAATTTGCATCAGCATGAAAGCTGCAGTGTTTGCAGCACACAAGAGCCGGTCTGTGAGCACTCACACAGTCTGAGGGTGTTACAAGGAAAGCAGTCGAAATATTAGGCACAGGCCTGCCCCAGTCATTCTGCACACAGGAACGTTTTCGTTTTGGTCTCATAGTTTTTAATATCGTTTCAGTTTAACCTCTGGGGGGTCCTAGAAAAATGCATACACTATTGGGCTTAGAGCCACAAATCGACCACGCCATGAAAAGTGCTATAAAATATCTATATATTAATATTTTTTCCACTTTAAATTAGCCAATCTTTTAGACCTACTTCTCCTTGAAATATTCATTTCAAGTTTTAATTACATTTCGCGGATTTTAACCGTTTATATCCCGGTTTCGTCACATGAGCGCACTGCTTTTTTAGCCCCAAAAAACAAGGAAATCAAATATTTCCCAAAAGATACAATTCCAAGGCCCGGACTCCCGAGTACCACCAACATTCGGAAGATGGCCCATTATTTGGTTGTAATGACCGTGGAATGGGAAATAGCGTTTATAATGGGTTTCAATGGGGCACAAATCGACCACTAGGACCAATAGTGTAAGTTTATCTGTAGCTCAGCCACTGAAGCTAATTTAAGGGAGTCAGACTGGAATTTTGAAATATATGAAACAGACCTTTTTTTTGGAAAAGTTGGCTATATTCCGTTCAACACAGTGCAAATGGCGTGTATACGAACAATGAAAAATGGCACAAATCGACCCAAGACCACCCAGAGGTTAAGTTGATTTAAAGCAGCGGTTCTCAAACTGTGGGGCAGGCAGCATTTAGACGACCACAGGAAAAAAATCCAGTTAAAATGTGTTCAGTTAGTAGTAGTTTTTTTTAGCAGGTGATTTTTAAAGCTAAAATTAAATTGCAATCTCTTTTTAGCAGTTGTGGGGTGCATGAATTTATTTATCATCCAGAGACATGCAGCTTGTGGGGATAGGTTAGTTGATTAATCCAAATTGCCCGTAGGTGTGAATGTGAGTGCGACTGGTTGTCTGTCCCTGTGTGTTGGCCCTGCGACAGACCTGTCCAGAGTGGACCCCGCCTCTCGCCCTGTGACAGCGGGGATAGGCTCCAGCGCCCCCCACGACCCTGAAAAGGATAAGTGGAAGCTTATGGATGGATGGATCTAAAGTTTGTCCAGAATCATTTTAAATGTAAAATGTATCAGGATGAAAGCTTGAACATGCATGAGTAAAATAACTGAGTTATACAGTGAAATGCTGTAAACACACATGCACATAATATAAAATGCTGCCTGTTCAGATACAGTGTGCTGACAGTGTTAAGCATCATTCAGCCGTCTGACTGATCTGGTAAATATCTGCACAAACCTTTCTACATTCTTTAATCGTCTTGATCGAAATGATTTGATTTAACTTATTCGAGACCCACATTTCACTGAGTCGTGCACAGAGGAATTCAAAATGTAAAGTAAAAATAGCTGTGCAAAGGGCTGAGACCACTGCCGGGTCATTTCCAGACTGATGCCAGAATTTGAGAGGTTTGTCAAGATGATGCTTCAGCCCAATGGGTGGTGGTAGATCAGACCATGTGACAGTAGAGGACTGCAGTGAGAGTGGCCTTATGCCGTCCTGCGTGTAGCTGAGACTCTTCAGAATGGACCCCAAACACATCCGTCACATGTGAGTGAGCCCGAGGATAAAGGGCGGCCAGTTTGTGTTTAGAGACGACTGCTGAAGAAGGAAATGTGACAGAACACGGTGGTGACGTGTTATAGAAAGTTTGCAACCAGAGCCTTTGACAATAATCTGTACTGTCAGAGACTAATGCACACATAAATGCATTTACCCACTTTTGCTAATCGAACTGCTGTTTCCAGGGTGACGGGGTCTGTCTGCAGGTTATAATGGATGAACTGACTTTATATTAATAGACTCTGCATGTTACTGAAGGTGGAGCTGTGGCACTCGAATCAGCTGCAGTAACTGAATTTTAGGCACTGAGTTGTGGCAGTTTGGGTTCAGTTCAGTTGTTATGCTGCAGTTCCTCTGAGTCAGGCACTGAACTGCTTGAGTTTCTGTCTGTTTATGGCTCTGATTGGGAGAAATCTTCTCAACTGTCAGCTTCAAGAAGCCATCGTCCAGCACTTGAGCTGTGCTCAACAAACGCCTGCATGTGGATGTGCTGTGCTAGAGGTAGATACATGCACACATCTGGTTGCACTGAAAGAAAGGAAAACACTGAAAACTGCCACTTTGTTACCTCAATATTAAAGTACAGCTCCCCCTGATTCCTGCTTACTCTTGTTTCAGCTGGAAACATAATGTTCCCTCGTAGAAACAGTACGTTTCATTCCTGCAGAGCCCTCCGCTGCAGCTTCTTCTTTTATTATTGCAGCGTGTTTAGTTTCTTCTGCAAACAGAAAACAGTTTACCTGCTCAGAACGTCAAACACGTCCATGCTGGAATATATCATCCAGATTATCTGATGGGATTGCACTTATGTTTTACCTGCAGTGTGACTGTCACTTACAGGCCACAGCAGAGCAGAATAAGATTGACGTCTTCTGCTAAATGTCCCTCTGAAAGTTTCCTTTAAATATCAAACATATTCAGACTGCTGACGACACCAGTGAAACAAGGCTGCCGCCTCAGGCGCTCCCCGTCTGTGGGGCAACCACAAATGCATTGTCTGGTTCACTTTAAGTCTCGTATAACAGGGATACTAATCATTTCCTCTGAGCCTCTTCTGCCTCCTCATCTTGTTTGTCTGTGTCCCGTCAGCGAGGACGTATGCAAACGTGGCTTCACTGTCATCATTGACATGCGAGGTTCAAAGTGGGAGCTGATTAAGCCTCTGCTCAAGACGCTGCAGGAGTCTTTCCCAGCTGAGATCTGTGTGGCTCTCATCATTAAGCCCGACAACTTTTGGCAGAAACAGAAGACGAACTTCGGGAGTGCAAAGTTCTCTTTTGAGGTCAGTGGGCTTTGTGTGTTTTACCCAACACGGCTTTGATCGTTCAAAGGAAACCTTATTAACAGTAAGATTATTAGAGATTAGTGCTGTAATGCTATTTGTGTGGCAAACTGATAATAACTAATAATACTTTCAGGCATCATTGATTTCCACAAGCTGCCATTATGATTTACGCATGTATTTATATATGTGGCACAGATGCTGCAGTCACTACACTGTAGTAAGAACATGAAGCACCACAGGTAGTCAGAACTCACCTCTAACCTGTGTCTGTGTGAACAGACCAACATGGTGTCAGTTGAAGGTCTTGCCAAGCTAGTGGATCCCTCCCAGCTCACAGACGACTTTGAAGGCTCGCTGGACTACAACCACGAGGAGTGGATGGATCTCAGGGTGTCATTGGAGGAGTTCATGTCCAATGCTGTTCATCTGCTGTCCAGACTGGAGGATCTGCAGGTGGGGGCAGCAAAGGCTCAAAGAATGGGAGTAACTGCTATGGCCGATATGACCAGTGTTTCCTGTCTTCTGCAGGAGCTCCTGTCCAAGAAGGACTTTCCTGCAGATGTGGAAGGCTCTCGGCGACTGATAGAGGAACACACCCAGCTTAAGAAAAAGGTGAGTCACTATCAGTACAGGTGCAGACACAGTCAGAGACTTTGTTATCACTCTAGATCGAGCTGTGCTAAAGCCAGCACAATTCAGTGTTCTCCTACTATTAATGAGAGGATTGAACTGTGCAAAGCCACTGAAGCTACTCTCCTGCAGGTGCTAAAGGCTCCAGTGGAGGAATTAGACCAGGAAGGCCAGAGGCTGCTCCAGTGTATCAGATCGAGTGATGGCTTTTCAGGGAGAAACTGCATCTCAGGCTCAGCTGACTTTCAGAGCCTTGTGCCCAAGGTAAGCAACGTCCAGCCCAGCAAAGATCTCCCAGCATACAGTTTTTTATTTAAGCTAAGGTTAACACAGGCTGGCCCCAAACAAGAATAGTAGCTTCTGTTATGGTTTATCTATACTTTCTGATGCAAACAAAACTTTGAACCTAGACATGAGAATTGCTGTGGCACATTCAGATACTAATGCATCCATGCATGATGCTTGCAGATGCTTTTGGCCTTATATAAGAGTACTTACTGGAATATTAACTGCAAACCTGTAGGTATACTTTCATGCCTACATAATCAGGGCCCACATTGTACATGATCAGTAACGTTGACCGCTTTGAGGCCACTGTTGTTGTGATTTGGTGCTATATAGATAAAAGTGAACTGAGTCTAGATGATTATTGACAGTTTTGTTCATAACTAAATGAAACTCACATCCTTCCAGCTGCTGAATGCTTAAAGCACATGGTATCATAACACAAGTCCACAGCCTTATTTTTTCTCATTAGCCAGCTCGTTAGCAACCCTCATTATCTGACAAGTGCTGGCTGCATATTAGCTCATTAGCCAAAGGACTCCACAGGGAAAATTTGAGTGCAGAACTTGTTTGCATTAAGCACATGAAGTACATGTGCACTGCCTGCGTGAGCAGCATTTACATTGATGTATGAGTGTGAGACATCTTTCATATTTAAATCTGTGCTTTACGTTTTGGATTAAAGAGGATCATAAAGGCAATATCAAACCGGCCAATGGCATGCGAGTGAGAAGGTGAGGCTAAACTGTGGAATTATAAACATGCAGGTGCTGTTTTGTTCCCCACTTGTGCACCTGCAGTACTAAACACAGCAGTAACACAGCAGTGTAAAAGATAGACGTAATGAACTGTTGGTTCAATCCAAAGAAAACCTGCCATCACATTCAGATCAGAAGTGATGTGCTGAATGAAATGTAAGACACACTCGATGAGCTTGCTGTTGTCATGTGACACATTGTGCTTTTCCTGACAGGTGGCCAGTCTGCTGGATAAGCTGCATTCCACCAGGCAACATCTCCATCAGATGTGGCATGTCAGGAAACTGAAGCTGGACCAGTGCTTCCAGCTGCGCCTCTTTGAACAGGATGCAGAAAAAGTGAGTTACACCTAAATATGACCAGAGTGTGAGGAAGGACGAGGCTGGGATGAGTACAAAGACATCAGGGGCCTGTGCTGGCGTGTGCACCAGCTCTGATATAATGCTGTTATGCATGCCTCATTCACCTGCACTGCTTTCTGTTAAACGCACTGGGGTTAGTATACCTGACCTGCAGACTAGAGCAGCCAGGGATTGAATGACCAGCCTTAGCTGACCTGTGCTACATCCTGAGCTGCAGCCACAGTTCAGCATATCGAGGCTATCTTCTTCTTCTTTGGGTTTGACATTGAAAGATAAGGCTAAGCTTTCACACTGAGGTAGTTATCAGCTGGATAATATGTTGTTCGTCTGCTGTTTCGGCCTGGCAAACCTTCAATTGCCTTCAAGTTTCCTCAGATAATTTCAGGACACACTTTGTCGCTTGCTTGCGTTTCATACGATACAGTGGGGCAAAAAAGTATTTAGTCAGCCACCGATTGTGCAAGTTCCCCCACCTAAAATGATGACAGAGGTCAGTAATTTGCACCAGAGGTACACTTCAACTGTGAGAGACAGAATGTGAAAAAAAATCCATGAATCCACATGGTAGGATTTGTAAAGAATTTATTCGTAAATCAGGGTGGAAAATAAGTATTTGGTCAATAACAAAAATACAACTCAATACTTTGTAACATAACCTTTGTTGGCAATAACAGAGGTCAAACGTTTACTATAGGTCTTTACCAGGTTTGCACACACAGTAGCTGGTATTTTGGCCCATTCCTCCATGCAGATCTTCTCGAGAGCAGTGATGTTTTGGGGCTGTCGCCGAGCAACACGGACTTTCAACTCCCGCCACAGATTTTCTATGGGGTTGAGGTCTGGAGACTGGCTAGGCCACTCCAGGACTTTCAAATGCTTCTTACGGAGCCACTCCTTTGTTGCCCGGGCGGTGTGTTTTGGATCATTGTCATGTTGGAAGACCCAGCCTCGTTTCATCTTCAAAGTTCTCACTGATGGAAGGAGGTTTTGGCTCAAAATCTCACGATACATGGCCCCATTCATTCTGTCCTTAACACGGATCAGTCGTCCTGTCCCCTTGGCAGAAAAACAGCCCCATAGCATGATGTTTCCACCCCCATGCTTCACAGTAGGTATGGTGTTCTTGGGATGCAACTCAGTATTCTTCTTCCTCCAAACACGACGAGTTGAGTTTATACCAAAAAGTTCTACTTTGGTTTCATCTGACCACATGACATTCTCCCAATCCTCTGCTGTATCATCCATGTGCTCTCTGGCAAACTTCAGACGGGCCTGGACATGCACTGGCTTCAGCAGCGGAACACGTCTGGCACTGCGGGATTTGATTCCCTGCCGTTGTAGTGTGTTACTGATGGTGACCTTTGTTACTTTGGTCCCAGCTCTCTGCAGGTCATTCACCAGGTCCCCCCGTGTGGTTCTGGGATCTTTGCTCACCGTTCTCATGATCATTTTGACCCCACGGGATGAGATCTTGCGTGGAGCCCCAGATCCAGGGAGATTATCAGTGGTCTTGTATGTCTTCCATTTTCTGATGATTGCTCCCACAGTTGATTTTTTCACACCAAGCTGCTTGCCTATTGTAGATTCACTCTTCCCAGTCTGGTGCAGGTCTACAATACTTTTCCTGGTGTCCTTCGAAAGCTCTTTGGTCTTGGCCATGGCGGAGTTTGGAGTCTGACTGTTTGAGGCTGTGGACAGGTGTCTTTTATACAGATGATGAGTTCAAACAGGTGCCATTCATACAGGTAACGAGTGGGGGACAGAAAAGCTTCTTACAGAAGACGTTACAGGTCTGTGAGAGCCAGAGATTTTCCTTGTTTGAGGTGACCAAATACTTATTTTCCACCCTGATTTACGAATAAATTCTTTACAAATCCTACCATGTGATTCATGGATTTTTTTTTCACATTCTGTCTCTCAAAGTTGAAGTGTACCTCTGGTGCAAATTACTGACCTCTGTCATCATTTTAAGTGGGGGAACTTGCACAATCGGTGGCTGACTAAATACTTTTTTGCCCCACTGTATGCCGGACTTTAATAACGCTTCAGAATCACCTTGTTGGTGCAAATATGCTTTTTATGATTATCAGTCAAGCTGCTAGCAACAACATGCCTAAAACTACAATCTAAAACTGATGCTACATTGTCTGTTTTATTCCTCGAGGTTGTGCATGAATGCTTCATAGTTTGTGTGAAGTTGCTTAAAAATCAAATGTTCAGGTAGAAGGACGAGTGAAAAAGCACCACTTTAAAAATGACAGATCAGCTGCTTGGAAGCAGAAATCTGAATATGAATGAAGTTCAAGACTTACACAGTGTCTCTTACTCGGGAAAGACAATGACTAAAAACCCTCTTACTGTCTGCACACCGAGGTCCGGTCACCTCATCTTCTAGGTCATGCTGTTTTCTAGAGAACTGATTGGTCAGTACTCTCTTATGTACTTCCAGAGCTGTGCCGTATACAGTAAGTTACCATGGTGATGTAAAAGGTAAATCACCATTAAAACTTGAAAACCTCTGATTGTACCTGATAGAACGGGCTTCTCGTCCTGAGAAGTAGATGATGTGTAAACACCAAAGGCAGTGTAGCTCAACACCTATGAATAAACTGTCCCTTTGTGATGGAGACCTGTTGTTGATGGAGCCTCTGTGTACTGAGTCACACGTCATAATGAGACGCTGCCATCTAAAAATAGTTTCAGGCACTTCAACAAAAATAACCTAAAATCACAGAAGATTTACTTCATTCAGCACAGCTGCAAGCAGCTGCTCTTTACATCTGTACAGTCACTGTGTTGGGAAACTCCACTGTGGCCTGGATGAATTAGCCTGTGGCATTTCTCTAAACACAGGAATAAGTCGCAGTTATTCCAGTGGAAAATCAGCCAACATCGCTTTACTTTCTCCGAGTTAGTTGGAATTGTGAATGAATGTTAGAATTCCCGTCATTCCATTCATTAACATACCAGCCTGTTTACAACAGCTACTCCTGTTTCAGTCCAAAATGCTATATATGGACATTTCCCATATTAGGACCAGACTGTAGCTATTGTTCAAAGGCAAAGGTGATTATTATGACTTACTTTAGTTGTTATTCTGCTCGGGTGATGGGGATACAAAAACTGGCCTCACTGTTGTACAGGCCCACAGGCAGGTCCTGCTACATTAAAATACAGTAATTACTACGAAAGCTGCAGTTTTTATGTTCATGGAGGCACAGTTTATAATATCTTACTGTCAGCTTGTACCTCTGCCTCCTGATAACAGAGCTGTGTTGTTGATGGGAGCATAAAAGCGCCCCTCTCGTACACAGACAGACACACACTGGCGGCTTGCTCTGCTGCTCCATACAGAAATCCACATGCAGATAAATATTTACTGTAAAGCAAACAGAGAAAAAAGAGAAGGTTTTTGTCCACATCAGTGTTGTCACAGCGAGGCACTGTGGGGGTGTGTGGACCCGTTTACACCGGGAATCACTCAGCTCTCGCGGTCGGGCCGGGAAAACATTCAGGCCTGACGAGGCGTTTGTTTTGTGGAAAACGCTGCAAGAAAAATGGCTGTGTCTTGGTTGCCGTGGTTACCGCGAGGCACAATAACCAACCCGTATCTGCGTGAAAGGATGAATTCTTCATCATCCTTCAGGGTAGGCTAACTTTTTCTTAACTTTCCACACTGTAGATACTCAGCTGTGTATGTCTGTGTCTGCACTGAAGTCTTTGGGACTTTGGATTTCGAGGGATTTTGTGCATTACTGATAATGTTTTGTGTTATCACGAGTTTACATGTGGTGTGAATCATTGCACTGATCTGCTGTGTGGTCTGCCTGCAGATGTTTGACTGGATCAGCCACAATAAGGAATTGTTCCTGCAGAGCCACACGGAGATCGGCCGAGGTTACCAGCACGCTGTGGAGCTACAGACTCAACACAATCACTTTGCCATGAACTCCATGGTACACGACGCCTTCGTAGTTCTTTGCAAACCTCATTTATCATTTATCGTGTTGTAAAAATGACTGGCAGCATTAGGTCAACTGGTTTAATTTCTGTGTAAACTGCTGACAGTTGGAGCAACAGTCTTTTGATGGATGCTCTTTCTTCCCAGAATGCCTACGTAAACATCAACAGAATCATGTCGGTGGCGAGTCGTCTGGTGGAGGCCGGCCACTACGCCTCCACTCAGATTAAACAGATCTCAGGACAGCTGGATCAGGACTGGAAAAGCTTTGCTGCTGCACTTGACGAACGCTCCACCATCCTGGCCATGTCATCTGTCTTTCACCAGAAGGCTGAGCAGGTGAGATCCCAGGAAAACCTTCCCAGATGTTTCTGAGCAGATACTCACTTACCCAGCATTCACAGGGGGGACGTCGGCCACCCTTTCTAACCGATGTAAGGACTTCTCTGTCACAGAGGACAAGCTGCACCACTTACTGGTGACTGATCGGGTAACTGTCTAATCTAAAAGTCTCTCTGCAGTAGACACATGTCTAGAATGTAACATGCAAATGGGACATTTATGCTGTCTGATTATATTTAATAGATCAAACTGCTCTACTGCTGATTCTTGGAAGGTTGACATGGCAACAGATGGAACCTGTTTGATTCCTGCTGGGCCCTTGACATTAGCTACAAGAGAACATTTGAGAAAGCACGAGATGAAAGACAGGGAGAGAAGTGGGGACAAGAGAGGGATTGGATGACACTGACTCCAACAGAAAAGCAGATACGTGTTGACTCAGGAGGAAAAATGGAAAGAAAACTGGCAAAGCTACAGAAAGGATACAGTGAGAGTACAGTGTGAAAAACAGGGAGAAGGAGATAAAGTGGGTCTTCCTTTTAAGCCATGTAGACGGTTCTAAAGAGGCTGTTGAGAATGCATGTAAACAAAAAACTATGATGAAATAATGAGATAATAAAAAAGGATTCACAGGTCAGTTCAGCTTTATTTATAAAGTGCCACACCAGCCATCGCCTCGCTGGCATTGGTTAACTGTATGACTGGGATTTGCTGTGGAATATCAGACACCCTGTGCTTTTCACAGGTCAGAGCAGGTTCAGCCTCAGCACTGTGGCACATGTAAAAGGGTCCCGCATTAGACATGGGTCAGAACCACTGTCATGCTGGAGCAGGGTGTCAGGGTGTGGAGGATGAGCTAATTGATAGTCTAACCTAAACCATCTGGGACATTAAGTTTTGGTCCATACGGCGATCCCAGGAGCTTTGGTATTCCCCTGGTCCAGATCTGGGAGGAGATGTACAGGACGCCATGAGTACCATTTTGAGCTGCATGGACTTGGCTGCTGCATCATTTTTGGCGTTTCTTTGAATTCAGGCCTCTAGGTTGATCATTTACATTTCCATCATTTGGATCATTTCAGCACTTTCTGCAGAATTTCCACCTGTTTATATATTTACATTTAAAGTTATCCATGAATTCTCCTTTGGAAAATCTTGTAATATATAGCATGTTATAATTTTTGGAAATTTGCCTCCCAACTCTGACCCTGGTTGAGATGGTGACCTGGTTCAGAGGCAGATTTGATGAGATTTCCCAAACGTGTAGACCAGTATTAGCCTAGCTATAGCTCATGTGAGCAGGCACTGAGTCCTGCCACATCTGGACTCTGGCTGACCTTGGCCTGCCTGATGTTAGGCCCAATATTTGTCCGAACTGCAGGACTTTATCTCAACACTACCACCTTAAAAATGAAGAAAACTGTTCTACTTTCATCAAGAGTTTGAAGCATTACTGTAGTGATGCAGAGAAGGGTAGATTAAACGGACAGTAAGCCACAAAAGGACGTTGATCATGGTTATATGGAACAGACCAAAGCTGACCCAGAATATCTGATACTGTCAAGGAACCAGAGAAACATCATTTTGTTGAATGAATCTTCTCATGAATGCACGCACTGTATGAATCCATCTGTGTGTCTGTTTCATTCATAAGTTTCTGTCTGAGGTGGAGACCTGGTGTAAAGTCTGCAGCGAGGGCGGGTTACCATCTGAGATGCAGGAGTTGGAGATTGCCATTCACCGTCACCAGAGCCTTTATGAGCAAGTGACCCAGGCGTACACTGAGGTAAACCGCCCAACCTACTCACTCAAATGAATGTTAGCGGCAGCTGAAGCTGACAAACATCACACAAAAACAAAGCACAACGCCGCTGTGTGCCTGCAGCGTCTGTGATCTGTGAAGAGCTGATCACTTTGGTAATGTGTTCACTCCACAACGTGTTTGTCTGGAAAACATTTAGGATTTAAAACATCTTTAATGTCCAGAACTTTGCTGTAAAGCTAAACGATGTCACGTGTAAAAAACATTGAAATATTTGGGCTCCAGAGCCTCTTGTGGATGCTGCCAGTACTGCGGACTGAGACTGGCTGTGATGACAGGGTGCCATCGGGCAGTTGCTGCACTAACCCTTCAAGCTGTTGTGTGAAGTCACTTCAGTAAATGTATTCTGTGCTCGCAGCAGCATTCTGGAGTTTTATCTTTAGACGGGGGTTAAATGAGTGAAGGTGAGAGATAGTCCCATGGTTGCTTTAAAGGATCTGTCATGCCTGCAGTGGATTCAGATCCTTTGGATTCTGGTTTTCAATAATCTGTACAACCATGTGACAAACATTGTTTTTTGCATACTTATGCAAATGTGACATGCACCATGCTAATTCATTTATAGAAGCCTTTCTCTTGGGTGGGCTGTACAGGTGCATCAGATATATTTTGCGACACATAATCTCTTGACCTCTTTTTGACATTGTAGTTGTTGCTAATGAGCGTGTTGGATTTGTGCTGCAGTGGTCCCCTATGGCTGTGAGTAGTCTCGAGTCTCACAGTCATACAATCCATGATGGATTGCAGCTGCTGGGACAGTTTAGCTTGTTCTGCCACATAGTCAGATCTGTTGCACACTAGAACACCACTCTAACCAGAACCCACAGCTGAGAACAAACTGGTTTGTGTGCCAGACTCAACGGGAACAAGGACTGCTGTCACTGCAGTTCAGAACACTGGTATTGGAGTTCTTAAGGTGAGGAAAGTGCAGACATCTGACTGTTGCCCCAAAGTTTATTATTACTTACATGTTTATTTCTTCAAGGAAAATGTGTGTTTCTGGTTTCACCCACATACGTGTGTAGATGCACTGGAGTGACATCACATTCTTAATCCATAAGGCTTTAATGGCCCACCCTTTGCAGCAATAGCAGCTTCCACTCTTCTGAGAGTGATTGTTTTCCACAATGTTTAGCAGAGCTCAGACATGTTGGACAAGAAGGTCTGGTCCCGGCTATTTCACCCTGAAGGTCTTCTATCGGGTTGAGGTCAGGACTCTGTGCTAGCCAGAGTTCTTCCACATCTAAGTCAGAAGTGCCATTATCCTGACAGCTTCCAAACCCAGATTCATCCATCGCCAGACGGAGAAGCATGATTTGATGCTCCAAAGAGCACGTCTCCACTGCTCCAGAGTCCAGTGCTGGTGTGCTTTACCCAACTGCATCAGATGGTTTGCGTTGTGTTTGGTGATGTAAAGCCTCAGAGTTGCTTAGCTATGGAAGCCCGTTCCATTAAGCTCTCTACAAACTGCTCTCGAACTAATCTGAAGTGCCACATGAAGTTTGGAGGTCATTAGTCATGAAAGTTGGTGACCTCTGCACACTGTGCAAAGCATGGCGGACAAAGAAGCACTGTCGTTGGGGAATCTGTTAAAGTGTCACAAATAAGACAGTTCGCAGAGGATAATCCTGTGATTGGTGGTCAGGGATTCAATTCATGGTGACAAATCACAACAGCAGCTGGTTAAATGGGGCGTGTTGTATATGGCCTGCATTTGTATAGCATTTTTCTAGTCCCTAAGGACCCCAAAGCGCTTCACACTACATTCAGTCAATCACACATTCACACACTGGTGATGGCAGCTACATTCTAGCCACAGCCGCCCTGGGGCGCACTGACAGAGGCGAGGCTGCTGGACACAGGCGCCACCGGGCCCTCTGACCACCACCAGTAGGCAAACATGTGGTTAGTATCTTGCCCAAGGATATTTGGCATGCAGCCAGGAGGCAGCCTGGGATTGAACCACCAACCTTCTGATTAGTGGCTGACCTGCTCTGCCACCTGAGCTACAGCCACCCCCTAAAGCTCTTTGAGCGCTCAGGTTGAACAGTTTGTAGGTGGCAGAGTCGTCTTTTTGTTTTATTGTAATGACCACAACCATACTTTAAATCCTAGCAACATATTAAGACTTTTATAGTTGGAGCACCGGTGACTGCTGCTCATGTGATTCATGTGATTTATGTGTTTGCAGGTGAGTCAGGATGGTAAAGCCCTGCTGGATGTCCTCCAGAGACCTCTCAGTCCAGGCAACTCGGAATCTCTTACAGCCACTGCAAATTACTCCAAAGCGGTCAGTGTCCCTGTGTTACCAATAGGAAACATGCCTACACCATCTACCGATTAAGCTAACATTTGTGTTTCTCTGTAGGTGCACTGCATCTTGGACGTGGTTCATGAGGTTCTTCACCATCAGCGGCGTCTGGAGAACATTTGGCAACATCGAAAGGTCCGATTGCACCAGAGACTGCAGCTCTGTGTATTCCAGCAAGATGTCCAACAGGTAAACACACAGCAACGTTCAGGGTGTGACCAAAAGGTTCTGAGAACAGATCCATAAAAACGTTATATTTCCGTCCTTCTTTTTTCATTGAAGACCAGCTTTTTTCAGATGGTCTGCTATTTTTCCATCTATCAGTGGAAGACCCATTTTGTCCCGTTGTACTTGCGCCTCTGTTGTGATCTCCTGAGCTGAGTGGTGAAATCATGTCTACAGGGTGGAGATATCAGCCAGAATGATTACAGTTTTGATTTTGATGGAAATATTCTCATCCCATCCTAGCAAACATCCCCGTGCTGGCCAACAGTGGGTAGCAGTAGCTGTAACTGTCGGGCAGTGTGGGCAGGGAACTCAGCGTGCCAATGCAAAGCCCACAGCAGTTTTGGGGGTCCCCCCACATGGCTTCCTGTGGGCAAGCTTGCAGTCCACATCTAGAGTGTGGGCATGCTGTGCATACATACACTGCAGGCCTACAATGGGCCCCACTGGAGACTCTACTTAGTGTGGACGGTCCACAGTCAGCCCATTCTATGGGCTCCCAGTCTGGGACCCCTATGGACCCCACATTTCACTGTGGCTCCAGTTTGACACATTGACACTCGTGCATCACCGACAGCAATGACCGATGTGTGTGTGATGAACGTACCACACGTTCTCTGCTGCCTTCTGTTTCTGCCTCAGACGTGTGTGGTGGGAACATTGTGGTGACAAAGTGCTCTGGTGTAAGCCCAGCGTCAGATAGTGAGGCACCAGGAGTGAGATACAACCAAGCACCACATCATTCATCTCTGAATTCTGCCTGAGCAGCTTTTTGTTCTTTGTTAAATAAAATCACTAACATGAAACGACTTTCAGTGTCTCTGCATCAAACTTCAGCAATAGTGTGCTGGGCTTTAACACATGCATCCAATTCAGATGGTGCCACCTATAGGTTCAGTAAGGAACAGCAGGTACATGGTTAAACATTACTGTGCAAAAGTCTCAGCCTCCCCCACATTTCTTTATATTTTGACTTTAATGTAAGTGGACTTGAGCAATAGTTTCCCTTTAAAATCAGTAGTGGACTAAAGAGAGGTTAGTAATCCACTCAACACTGACCTATGACCTATGAGTCATGCAGGCATAAAAAGGTCCCAAACTCAAGGAATAAATCATCAAGTGAAAGCAACACAGTGAAGCACTTTCAGTCTTTATTGAAGCAGTCAGTGTTCTTTCTTTCCATTTATGTGTCACTGTTAGTATTTCCCATTTTTATTAAATAAAGAAAGTGAGGGGTGGCAGTCTTGCACCTTACTCCATGTTTCAGTCGTGTGTATTTTCCACGTCTGAGTGTAGAGCTATGCTGTAAGGAAGAGCCGCAACAAACAGGAGAAAAAGTGCGAGCTCTGTACAGCTTTCCAAAGACTGAACGTCTGAGCTTCTACAAATTAACCTCACACATGAAAGCTAGCTGGCTATAAACACGCAGGTGGTTGGGACGGTGATTGGCCTGGACTGGAATCACTAATGCATTTACCAGCTCAGCTCTGACAACATGCAGGTCCTGGTGGTGCCAGCGTTTGCTAAAAGCTGTCCAGGTCGGTCAGTGTGATGATGTGTGGTGAAGCTTTTGCACAGTACAGGAGGTTTTATTTAAGAATCCCATTTTGTTGAATTTTCATGCAAGGCCCAGCTGTACATATGTATGTTTATATTTCTTTGGGGAAATATAAACACACTCTTTAACTTTTCTGGAGGACAGACACATATCAGCACATTGAATTCATTTGCACAGGCCTGATGTATCTGCAGCTCTGATGCATTTAGTGTATGTACAAACAGGCCTTGGCAGAGCGAGTTAGAGCTGCAAACTCACAGATGAATGCTCTAAGTTTTGGCGCCATGCAAATATTTATTTAACCCAGGGGAGACTGTGGGAGAGTGTTTAAGAGAAGTAAGAAGACAAAGAGACAGACTGAAGAAGAGATCATATCAGTGGGTTATAAATTCACTTAAAGCAGAGCTTTGCAAGTTGTACTTGTCATGCATCACTTTCTATGAGCCCCCAGAGGGAGAGGCACAGGCACAGAAAGTGAGAGAGCGACCTTATACAATCGTGCATAAATCACTAAAAAAGGCTGTTGCACGAGTGCTAATGCTACAGGATATACATGACCCCAGAGATGAAGAGTGAGAGATGCAGACGTGAAGGCTGAGCGTACAATGTGTGCAGATCACCAAAGACAGTCCAGCTGCAGTTTCAGTCTGTGCACTGTGACCCTACACTGACCTCTCTGTGGCTCCAGCTGCTGCACTGACATCATGAGTGCACGCTGTTGCTTCAAGGCCTTGAAACACATAATTTGCTAATGTGCGACAGACTGGATGTTAATCCTTAGGATCCAGAGGTTGCCTGAGCTGCTGGTCTTACTGGACAGAAGATGGGTTGCCTGGGTTCATATTTTATTGCAGCAGTCATGCATAAAATGCAGAAATGAAGATGTGTCAATATTTCAGTATGAACATTTAATGGAAAGAATGGGCCTCTGTTAGTACACCGTGCACCTCATTTCCATTTATTATTGGACTGTTTTATCATTGGAGATCTGAATGTCTTCAAATTATTGTCACTGTATTTACACAGCTATGTACAAGCTATATATACATATATTTGTCCTGCAGGAGACTCAAAGGGTAATGAGTGAGAGATCCAACATTTGGTTTCATGTCCAAACTCTGATTACATCATGTTTGTGCCTTAAAAAAGAGGCATTGATTTGTTTGATCTTACATGGCACACAGCAGTGTGTAGCAGTGGAAACATTCTGACGTCACCAGATACAAGAATCAAGTGAACAAGTAACCAGTCAGCTGCAGGGAACCATACACTCGTAGGACTTTTCTCAGTTAACCAAACTGTGGAGGCGCAGGTTGACTCTGGAGTCTGTACATTCCACTACCCCCTTGTGGAAAGGAGGGACCACCACTATCCCACTTAATAGCCAATATTATATTTTAAGAAATCACAATTTCTTTCAGCAAATTATTTTAGTCAGAGTTTTAGTGGCTCTCAAACCTTTACAGGGCCAAAAACATGTTTTTTCATTGTTTATTCCCAGTCTCAGATGAACTAGAACCAGTACTGGGGTTACTGTCCAGGGGAGAAAAGGCTACAAAAGCCACAGAGCTAACAGCTCATAACACACTCGTATATGGAAAACATGGCATGGAGACATCCTGCTCTTCTCAGCTGCACTGACCTACATTTCCCACCCAGATCATGAAGGTTTCATTGATTTCATTCTTTATTCATGAGCTCTGAGACCATTTTGTGCATTTCTACACATGTCGGCAGAATAAGAGTTGGAAGTAGCAACGAGAGGTTTAGCAGGTGACCTTAAATCTTTGCCGTGTCTTCAGGATGATCTAAAGAAGGTGTTTTCTCCCGTCCAGGTGATGGACTGGATAGAAAACCATGGCGAGGCTTTCCTCAGCAAACACACGGGCGTTGGGAAATCCCTCCACAGAGCCCGAGCCCTGCAGAAGAGACACGACGACTTCGAAGATGTAGCTCAGGTAAGTTACTGGATTTGATCCTACTCTGAAGGCTCCTCTTCTCTGTTGTTTTGTTATGTTGTGCTGCAGTTTAGCTGAAAGAGCAGGTCCAATTCGTCCAGGTCTTGTTAGCAGTAGAAATAAAAAAAGGTCAGCTTTGCCTAGAAAAAGCAAAAAAATCAGCCCAGTTTTTAATCACGTTTATCTGCTCACTGTGCAAACATCTGTTAGTTATCTGCCCTGATTAATTCCAAATTTTCTAAACCACCGTGTCTGCTGGTGGAAGCATTAGGAAATGCCTTTACACGACCATATATGGTCAAAGGCTTTTCTGAAAGATCTGCAGAAGATGTTATCCACATCCATTCCTCAATTTCACCGCTGCAGTTTGTCATGTGTTAAACAAACAGCAGAGTGTTGGTACTGAAGACGATCAGTCCAGCCTTTCTGCTCCTAATCTCGTGCACGTTTGAAACTTCACATGAACAGCTCACTCGGCCGCCTAACTTTATCTTTTAGTGTGTGTTTATTTTTGCAGTCCTAACTTTGGCGCTTTGGTCGGCTGTGGTTGGTTTTAATGTGAGATGAAAATGGATGTTGACTTGACTTTATATGCAGCTGAAGTTGTGAAGACTGGATCGCGTGTCGGTCAGATTTGGCCCCCTCGTCTGCCGGTGCACGGGGCCGTGTGGCGTAAAGTCCAAGGGCTGATTTATTTTTAGGCTTCAGACAATGAAAGTCCTTGTACAACATTATTGTTGCTGCGATGTTCTCTCTTTTTGTCATCTCTCCTCTGTCATTTTATTCTCTTCATATGGAAAAAAGTTTTGATCTTTTATTAAAAGTTTGCCCTTTTTAACTTGAGTCATGTCAGAGCTGTCTGTAAGTACCAGGAAGCATCGGTCTAACTGGAATCTATTACACTGGTTAATACAGTAAAGGGATAATCCCATAAAGAAGCGAGTGGTAATCCTATAAAGAGTAGTTGTATGATCGGATATTTACACTCTGGATTAGGATTATCCTTCAGATCACCAGTGTTTACATGTCTCTCTGTCCCTTCCCTCGTTTTTTCACTTTCCTTTTTGCAACATGGATACATTTAGCACATGTCAGATGAATATCTAAGTATATTTGCACAAACAGAAAGACGTGGCACATGTCTGCAAGTCTTGCTTTGTGATGTGATGCTGTGTCATTGCTCTCCTCATCTGATTATGAACATTTGAGCCTCCCGAACATCAAACAGAATGACTTAAATACTATTTTACTCCCACTGAAGTCTTCATCTTCCAATTTCTCCTCCCGGCTTTAAGCCTTCATTTCTTCAGAGAGCGTTGGCTCAGTCGCCTGCTTCACTACAAAGACGTGTTGGCTGATTAGGACGTCCTAATATGAAATATGATGACACTGAAAACTCTGTTAACAATGCAAATATGTGTGTACAACGTTTGGTATGTGGATTGTGTCTGTTTCACTTGGTTGTCCATGAGCAGTTACAGGCTTATTACAGGTGATTGGTTGTTGCAGCTTATTGACAAGATAACATTGTAGCCTTTTGTATGGAGTCTACATTAGGCTACGTTCACACTGCAGGCGAAAGCGCATCAAATCCGATTTTTTTGACCCTATGCGACCATCTATCCGATCATGGTGTGACAGTGTGAACGGCACAAATCCGATATTTTCAAATCCGATCTGGGTCACTTTCGTATGTGGTGCTGAATCCGATACATATCCGATGTTTCAGAAAGCGTTTGATGGTCAAGTCGCATTAAATCCGTCTTTTATGTCACTGACACAAGACAGACGCCGATTATCAGCGCCGGAGAAGACATCACGAACGCTTCCTGGCCATCCGGTGAAACTGTTGGGAAGACAACGTTGGAGAAACGTGAACATTTTATTTGTACTGCATAACCTGCAGATTCTGACAGAAATCTGCAGCTATCCTTTGAAGCAGCGCTCCTCTAAAACAGCAATAAGGATCATTATTAGGTTATTTACATTATTATGTAAATAACAAAATAACTTAAAGCAAAAATTGGGAAACGTGAAGTCTGAAGTCTTTATATTAAAGGCCATCAGTCAAACAATACTGTTGTAAAAAAATCGGATTTGATCAAAAAATCGGACTTGAGCATTAAGACCTGCAGTGTGAACGTAGCCTCTGTGTGGGAGCATTTATTTGAAGTATTTATTGTGTCGGACCATCAGTCGACCTTTTGTCCAGCTCTCTGTGGGGGTTGGAGCCCCTCCACAGTGTAGGGTGAGACACGGGTCCACCCTGTGCAGTCATAAAGCTAACACAGAGAAACAGTCGCACACATATGAACACCTGCAGAATCACAGAGTGTAACCTAAATGCATAGTTAACCTCCTAAGACCTGAGTGCGTTTTTAATTTCTCTGTGCCGTTTGGGCTGATGGGCACCTGATGAATGTAAAAACAAAGAATCACCTGATTTTTTTTTTTTTACCTGATATTTGTTTCTGAGAAAAATGAGATCCACATAAGAGGACATTAGTCTGTGGCAGTGTAATGTCCTCGTAAGTGGACATCAGGCCCTTGCAGAGACACTGCACATTAGTGGCAAAACACCAGAACAAAGGTTACGCCCTCTTCTATAAATGTATAAGGAATCTTCTGAAGGTGATTACATAATGGTTTTATTCAAAGTTTCTTACATAATATAAGAATTACTACACATAATGTCAGAAAACTGATACTAAAGATACTTGGATATCATTGGATGCTAAACAGGCCTTCGATAGAACTGAATGGCCGGTTCCATCTAATGTGGTTCCCAGATTGGGTTTTGGTTTGTGTTTCTCAAGAGGATCAGAATCTTATACACAGAGCCGATTGGCAGGCATAACAAATGGAATGACTTCTAAACCAATAACAGCGACCTGCCCAACAAGGGTGCCCTCCTCCACCAGTGCTGTTGGCCCTCGGCCTGGAGCACTGAGAGTACACCGAGCTTTGACTGGGATCCAATGAATGACAAGTGCATCTTATATATCTCTACCCCGATGATGTTCTCCTCTTCTTATCAAATCTGGCAGTATCTTCAACCTCATAAAACAAAGTGATGCATTTGGACAATTTTCGGAATAAATTATACAAAATCATGAGTGGTCAGCACTGTTGCCTCACAGCAACAAGGTCCTGAGTTCAATTCCAGCATCAGGTCTTTCTGTGTGGAGTTTGCATGTTCTCCCTGCTGTGTGGCTGCTCTCCGGGTACTCCAGCTTCCTCCCACAGTCCAAAGACATGCAGTTAGTGGGGCTAGGTTATTGGTTACTCTGAAGTGCCCATAGGTGTGAGTGTAAGTGTGAATGTTGTCTGTGTCTCGGTGTTACGGTGTGAACACACCGTTAGCCCTGCAGCAGACTGGCGACCTGTCCAGGGCGTACCCCGCCTCTCACCCTGAAACAGCTGGGATAGACTCCCCACGACCCTGGAAAAGGATAAGTGGAAGAGAACGGACGGATCAATGTTATATTTACATCAAGAGGAAAGAGATTCTCAAATAACAAAATCACTGTTTAAAAATCCAAAAGGAGGATTCATGTTTTGATTCATGTTCATTAATTTATAAGAATCAAAATTAAACCCGATATAAAAACAACCATTTGAACATTTTAAGGATTCACCAAACCGTTTTTTCTCACCAGTCTATCCTGATGCAATAATGCATCCTTTTCAGCAGGAAGAGCTTTAGGAGCCTTTAAACTATGGGCGAGTAAAGGCTTCAGAACATAGCAGCTCTTCATTCAAACAGCGCCCGTATGATCGGCTGTGTCTAAACTTTGATATCTCTAAGAAGCTCTTTTTTCAAATCCCTGCAGTTGAGACAGTTTATTTAAACCAAACATCAGTCGTTCACATCTGAACCACAGTTCCTACACCGTGAAGACCAAACGATAAAGAAAGACACATTTCAGTGTTTATAATGTAACTGCTGCCTTTGACCAAGAGTCTGTCAGTAACAGGTTACAGGCAATGAAAACTGATATTAAGATGTTTAAACGCCCAGGAACAATCCGTTCACACAAGACTGAGATGATTACAGGAGTTAATGACAATGAGACCTTACCCCTGAAAACTGAATTGGTGGTCTCCTGATATTCCTGATGTTTGTTTGAAGTATTCGGGTACTTTGTGTCAGTGTGTGTGAGACTGTCCGGAGCTCCAGAAATCCTGACAGATGCTAGTGCAGACGTTGTTGGGTCTTTGTTTCCAGCTCCTGTGAACCTCGAGTTGAGTTCTTCTGATATATTTGAGTTTTGTGGTTTTCCTTCATTATGATTCATGCTTTGCCTCCGTGTCATGCCCACGTGTCTCAGGTCGGCATCTCTGTGTTTCCTGTTTTATTTTGACAGTCTTTGTTGAGCTTCCCTCTGTCTCCTCACTCTTAATTTGTCCCAGCTGTTTCCCCATGTGGTTCCACTCCCCGATCACCTCCTGTCTGTGTATATTGTGCGAGTTTCCCCCTGACCTTTGCTGCGCTGCGAGATTTCTTATGTCAACATTTCCAAGGTTTTCCTAGTGATCCGGGTTTTGTGTTTATGTATAAGTTCTTCCCAGTGTAGGTGTTTCTCAGTTTGTAAGTGTGCCTTAATAAACGGCACGCCTTCAGTTCCTCTCAGTCTGTGTCCTGTGGTCGGCGTTTGGTTCCTCACACAAAACACATGATCTGTCTCCGGGTATTGTGACAGTTGGAGTACAGGTGGTGCAAACACTGTCTGCTGGGCATCTACCCAGAGAGCCCTGCTTCATCAATATGTATTGATTTTTGGACTTTTAGGGGCTGGAAGAATCAATCATTGGAGACAAAAGGAAAAGTGGTCACATGCTATGTTGGACAAACTGACCTGGACTGTCAGAGGAAAGGCAGAGGGTTTGAAAAAGTATGGAGACTGTGATTGGACAGCAGTGCAGAATTCAATTGTTGGTCTGTATCTGAATGTGTTTGCTCAGGGCGACTGTTTAAAACGCTGGAAATGTCGATAAAAACATTGAAGTATAAAAACTGGAAAACTGCACCAAAAAACGGTTGCACTCAGCTTTTTGGTATCGTGCACTGCCAGCCGTGGTTCATTATACCAAACTAAGGGAATGTTTCTCTCTACCTTGCAGAACACTTACACCAACGCAGACAAGCTGCTGGAGGCAGCCGAGCAGCTTGCACAGACAGGAGAGTGTGACCCGGAGGAAATCTACAAGGCAGCTAGACACCTGGAAGTGCGAATCCAGGACTTTGTCCGCCGGGTGGAACACAGGAAGCTGCTGCTTGACATGTCTGTCTCCTTCCACACACACACTAAGGAGGTGGGGACAGTTTTGCTATTTATTCCATGTAGCCACAGAGACAGGTGATAGATGTGTGTTGAAGCATCAGCCTGAAGTTATTCACTCTCTTTGCATTGACGATCATTTCTGTCTGCGTGTCTGCATCCAGCTGTGGTCGTGGATGGAGGAGCTGCAGAAGCAGCTGCTGGACGATGTGTGCTGCGATTCTGTTGACTCAGTTCAGACTCTGATCCAGCAGTTCCAGCAGCAGCAAACAGCCACACTGGAGGCAACGCTCAATGTGATTAAAGAGGGAGAGGAACTAATGCAGCAGCTGAGGTAACAGTCATACTCTTCTTATTGTGGCAGTATTAGAGCGAAAGGGAAAAGCTGACACCAACTAACAACTGAAGTAGTGAAATGAGGATTTCTAAAGTTAATAGAGCATCTCAGATTGTAGCATCAATACTGCAAATGTCATAAAAACACACAGACACACAAATACTACACAAAATGTTCAATCAAAACAAAATAACAGAAACAGTGATAGCAGCAGAAACAGGAGGGGTGGAGCAGTGAGTTCAGGGGTGGTGTCAGGACCCGCACAGCTGATCTCCATCCATCCTGTCGGACACCGGGACAGGACGACAGACAAGTGTTGGACTAACTGGAGCATCCAGCTGGAAAGCTGTAAAAGTGAACTGGTTGGAAGAAACCAGTAAAAGAAAAAACTATCATTTTGAGAAAAAAGCTGAAATGATCTTTGGGGAAAGTCCAGAGTTTACAGTTGATTTATAAAATGCCTCTTTACTGCAGGAGGGTGGAACTGCTGTGCCTTTGCATCTGTCCAGTACCAGCCGTTCATTTCCCGTCTTCATACTGATCAGCACTCTGTGTTTATGTGCTAATGAAACATCATTTCCTTCCTGTGAAATGCACTATACACAGGTACACACACACAGGTCTTTATCACCAGCTTCCACATTTATTCATAGTTTTCCCAGGTTATGATATGAACACAGTCTGACAGCTGTCGGTCCCAGCTGATTTCCCTCTCTCTCCGCTCCTCTCCGTCTCACTATAAAAAGGGAAGGAAACCATTATCAGTCCAAATCGCCATCAGCTGTTCTCACCGGCATCTCCAGCACCGCCCCGTTGAGCCCACTGCACCACTCCTCCCCTGCAGCCGCGCCCGGGACCACACCTCCGCCACACTTCCTTACTCAAACCAACTGTGAAGCATGATTTCAGTAATTCAGAGGGAACAGCAGCCGTTTGTCTTGAAGCAACAGTGTCTTTACAGCTTTATTCTCCAAATGATCAATAATATTTTAATTAATACTCAGCCTATTTTATTTTTACTTGTATTTTTTTCTGTTCTGGCACTGGATATGAAATAACACGACACCACCACAAGGTTAAACTCATAGTGCATCGTGCACAAGCACGAATGCTGGTTACTCTGTAGGGTCTGCAAAGAGCTGCAGAAGCCTGGGAATGCGCTCACAAAGATAACAGACATGGCCGTGTGTGTGTGTGTGTGCTCTTCATCTACACACAGAGTGGAGCAGGCAGCATTCATGCTACTCTAAACACAGAGAAATATGACCTCTGTACTGGTGTTCTCAGGAGCACACGCATCCTCGAGTTTGGAGACGAGTTGGACCATTTTGAATCGTCTCCTCCTGTATCCTGTGTTTTTGCAGGGATGCAGCCATGTCCACCAATAAGACGCCACACTGCAGTTCCATTGCGCACATACAGGGTGTGCTGCAGCAGCTGGATGAAGCCCAGGGCCAGATGGAGGAGCTGTTCCATGAACGCAAAATCAAGCTGGACATCTTTCTGCAGCTTCGCATCTTTGAGCAGTACACTATAGAGGTCAGGCAAGAGGAATGTTGGCTCAGTGCGTACAGTTAACTGGACGTGATGTGTTAACGCCAATCAATGCGCTTTCTTTCACCGAGCAGAATAGAAAAACATATTTTGCTAATTTTGAGGTTTTGTCAGCACAAAGTCTGTCAGGACCAAGTGCTCAGATCAGCTGCTGGACCAGGTCTGGCTCTCGCTGTGTTCTTTTGTTCACTTGAATCTTTATGATTGCTCGCTTTTCCCGTTCTGGCAGGTCACGGCAGAACTAGACGCTTGGAACGAGGATCTGTCTCGTCAGCTGAATGACACCAGCCGCTCGGGCGCTAGCAGCGGCAGCAGCAGCGGGGGAGGCGGTGCCTCGTCCGCCGGCTCAGAGGATATCGGTCTGGCAGAACAGCGGCTGAAGCGGCACGCAGAGAGGAAAGCAGCCATGAACAACATGACCTATGAGGTGATGCAGCAGGGTCAAGATCTGCACCAGTACATCATGGAGGTCCAGGCTTCAGGTAAGGGACGCACACATGATTCCTCTATGAGCGCGCAGGAGTGAACCATGAGGTCTGAACTTGAATCTGACAGAGACTCTCTGTGGCAGGTCCAGACTTTTTTATCCACTGCCTTTAGCGCACACTGAGCCACACACTTTTGTGCTCACAGCCTTAGTCCTTGTTGTTTTAGCCGTATTAATCTTTCTCTGTTATATTTGGATTCCATCATTGTTGTGCATTTGACTTTGGGAAAGCACTTTGTGCAGCATAACTAAACTTGGCCTTGACACTAACAGAGTGCTACTCTGGTCCCAGGTGGGATCAGTCTCTCTGAATCGCCACACAAACTAAACGCTCTGTTTGAAGCCCAAAATCACTTTCAGTGAAAGTAAAAAGTTAAATGGGAATATAGCATCCTTAAGATGCAACATGGTGAATCTTTTCTGTTTGCAGCTATTCAGCAATTCATACTTTGTCACGTGGGCGATCGTGGCTCAAGAGTTGGCAGTTTGTCTTGTAATTGGAAGGTTGCCGGTTCGAGCCCCGGCTCCGACAGTCTCGGTCGTTGTGTCCTTGGGCATGATACTTCACCCGTTGCCTACTGGTGGTGGTCAGAGGGCCCGGTGGCGCCAGTGTCTGGCAGCCTCGCCTCTGTCAGTGCGCCCCAGGGCGGCTGTGGCTACATGTAGCTGCCATCACCTGTGGGTGGATGTGCAAAGTGCTTTAGGGACTAGTAAAGCACTATACACATACAGGCCATTTACCATTATTTCTTATTTTTACCAAATGCATACAAATTACAAATGAATTGCCCTCTGGGGATAAATATAGTCTCTCTGATCCTGAAAACAGGGCTTGGCTTGTTTATCCTTTCTTAGATAGCAGCATTTCTCTGGTTTCTGAGGTTCTCCAAAACTTCCTTTACACTAATTTGTTGACATGACAGAAGCAGAACGTGTGTGTTTGTCACAGGAATCGAGCTGACGGGAGAGAAGGACTTGGACTTGGCCTCTCAGGTTCAGGAGCTGCTGGAGTTCCTGCATGAGAAGCAGCAGGAGGTGGAGGTCAACGTGCAGCACACGCACACGCGGCTGGAGCAGACTCTTCAGCTGCGCCACCTGCAGGGAGAAGTTAAACAGGTGAAGGCATGGCACTCACAGGGAGGACTCCATCTTTAACCTACTTTGCTATGTGGCTTCAGTTTGTTGTCCCAGATCTAGAAAACATCGAGACTCAGAGAAAGCTGGATCCTAGTCCAACTAGAGCAACGTTGTTATCAACTGTTCTCGTTTTGAACAGGCTGCTCGATGTTGGAGAAGTGACAGGAACAACAGCCAGGCTGTGTGTGTAGACAGGAAACACACTGCTGCAAATGGATACAGCTGAATCATTTATTAAGCTCATGCCAACGTGCTAATAACACACAGGAACACACCCTCACTGCTATCCTGTCTGAGATCACTCGTCAGTAAAGTTCACAACCTTGAATAGATGAGGCACCTCGTCTGCCATGGCTAACGTCATCTTCCATAGGACCACTCTCACTCCAAACACACATAACACTCACAGTTTGTCATGTTTTGAGGCGTCCCACAGGAACGCGAAAGGCAACCCTGTGATTGGATTGAACCAACAGAATGGGGTTGGAGGTTGGCGCGCCTGAGCGAAATCACTCCTCCCCTGCACGTAAATGATTGTTGTTGATGTGGATGTCGAGCTGTGAGCGGAGAGCTGCAGCCGGCGAGGGAAGATGTCAGTGAGCGGTGAATCGGGGTCGCGCCGTGCCTCCTACCTGCCACAGTCACATGGTGTCATATGTTAGGTTTTGGGATGTGAACGCGTTGATTTCACCGTGTTACAAAGAAATGTAACCCGAGGAGCACATGCATGTCACAGGTGCATCAGTTTTTGTTATCTCTCAGAAGCTGTGTGTGTCGTGTAGTTGAAGCTCTGACTAACATAATGCGTGTAGTGCAAGTGTGTCCATTAAGACATCAGTCAAAGCCAAAAACAGTCTATTTATTTGTACTTGCACAAAATAACCTTTGACCTTTCACTGCTGTAAGTTTCCTTTTGTTAACAATGAAGCATGTCACACAAAAGGTCCGAGGTGTAGTCCTACTGATATTCTGATTACACATTATTAAAGATGTTTCAGTAAGTGTGTCAATAAAAACATTACTCATGATAAACGCTCCCAGATGTTTGCGCGTGTTAGTCGTGCAGGACTGAAGCTGGAGTTTCCCGAGCTTCACTCGTGTAGCTCCACAGCGTCTGCAGACACACGCACACGTATTACATGTTATTAGTACAGATATGGTTTTAGTGAGAGAGGCTTTCCCACCACAGCGTGTATACACCTGCATGTTTATATAAGTCGTATGTTGTCATGGTGTCTGACTCGTTGTCTAGGTGTTGGGTTGGATACGTAACGGAGAGTCCATGCTGAACGCCAGCATGGTCAACGCCAGCTCGCTGTCTGAGGCCGAGCAGCTTCAGAGGGAGCATGAGCAGTTCCAGATGGCTATAGAGGTACACACACACACACACACACACACACACACACACACGGCCTAATTATTTACTGTACAGGAGTAATAATTTTTCAGTGTGTGCTGGTTTGAATCGTAGCAGATGTGCACGCAGTGACACAGAGGTGCTCTTTGTCATGTGTGTGTGTGAACCAGGCTTACCTCAGTCGTTTACATTCTGCTCTGAGTTTGAACAGTTACAGCTGCTTCACACACACTTACACACACACAGTAAATCCTTTAGGTGCTGTCACTGGATGCTGTGGTGTTACTTTAAATAGCTGACCACAGAAGTCTGAAGGTGTGTGTGTGTGTGTGTGTGTGTGTGTGTGTGTGTGTGTGTGTGTGTGTGTTGATGATATGACTCCTGCATCTTCCTGCTGATGTGCTGCTGTGTACCCAGGCTCACGCACTCGTGCACAACGATATGTTCAACAATATAAAATAAACTTTTGCCTCCATGTAGTTTTTCCCTACTGCTGTATTTAACTTAAATAAAACAGTGAATGAAATGTTAGGATCATTTTAATACAGCTTAATCATCAGAATTGTAATCAAAGCTGTAAATGATCTTTTCTGGCACAGAGTCGAACTTTAAAGATTCTTTTTGCCTGGAAGAGATTTCTAGACGTTTTAGAGGCCCTTTAACCTTTAAGCCTTGTGTTTGTGTAGACCTCCACAAAGGCATGTTAGAAATGGTATATTGAACTGAGTGAAAGTGGAGATAATAACCAAATCTCCTCTCTTCCAGTCTCTATTCCACGCTAACTCTCTTCAGAAGACACATCAGAGTGCTCTGCAGGTCCAACAAAAAGCTGAGGTGAATCTTCTTTAATGCCTAACTAACTGTTTCCCTTCATTTCTCCGTCGTCAGTAGTTGACAGCTCTGACCTCTTTTGCTGCTTTTGTCAGATGATGCTACAGGCGAGTCATTATGATCCAGAGGCAATTCGAAGCTGTGCTGAGAAGGTTGCCGTGCACTGGCAGCAACTGATGCTGAAGATGGAGGACCGTCTGAAGCTGGTCAATGCATCCGTAGCCTTCTACAAGACATCTGAACAGGTGCACTTCAAGCAAACTCCACCATCGCTGTTTTTGTTTTCTTACATCAGCAACAGGAAGGTAACTGTTTGTGCGTCTGTGCAGGTGTGCAGTGTGTTGGAGAGCCTGGAGCAGGAGTACCGCCGCGATGAAGACTGGTGCGGCACACACGACAAAGTGGGAAGTTCATCCGACAGCGACCACCTCCTGCCTCTGATCAGTAAGCACCTGGAGCAGAAAGAAGCCTTCCTCAAGGTGATTTCATGTCTCACTGTCTAAAAGAACAAAGCAGGCTGCTGGGCTTGTTTTGTTTGATAAATAATGTATGCAGATGCTGCCATCATATTCTACACAACTAATAACATGTATATATAAAAGTTTCCCACTTGCATTGCGGGCATCTTTGTACTTCAAGCTAGTGTCCTCTACCAGAGGCCTGGGAGCTGGAGGGTCCTGCAGGGTCTTTTCCTAGGACTGTGCTCTTCATCGCAGAGTTCTCAGATGTTGTTCCTGCTGGAGCCACTCGCCTAGCTTGATGGTCACTGCCCCAAGTGCTCTGATTAGCACGGGGACCACTGTTGCCTTCATCCTCCACATCTTCTCCAGCTTCTCATGTTCCTCCTCCCTGCTATAGCTACCACTCGGTATAGCTACACCTATCACAGCGGCTGCTTGTCTACCACTATGTTGGTTAGCCATCACCAGTTTGTCCGCCTGTGTCTGGAAGTCCCACAAGATCTTAGCTCGGTCATTCTCCACCACCCTGGGGGCATCTCCCATTTTGACCTCGGGACTTCCAGGTTATATTCGGCACAGATGTTCCTGTACACTATGCCGGCCACTTGGTTATGGCGTTCCATGTACACCCTGCCTGCTAGCATCTTGCACCCTGCTGTAATGTGCTGGACAATGTTCCTTGTAATGTTTCATGTGTGTGAGCGAACACACAAACTCCCTGAGCGTCCCTTGGACCACTGTGAGCAACAGCAGACGTGTGCACTGTGGTCATGCCAGCATCGAATCATCCAAGTTACATGTTTATTAAAATAATCAAATTACAGCATTTATGTTAGACTACTTTTAATTACCTGCTTTAGCCCACTTACAATGAAAATTTAAAACAATCTTATTCATCACCTGTGTAGGATGTTAACACTATTGGAAGTAAAAATAACTTGAACTCCAATTTAGAAAACACAACTTTTTTTTATAAAGCTCTGACTTGTATTATGAGTCTGTGGTCTGGGAGAGAGTCTGTAACTCTGTCTGCAAAATACAGTAAATAATGACCAATGTTGGGTAATTAATTATATAGTTACTTCTTCAAAAAAGTAACTGAGTTATGCAAACAACAAAGTTTGTTGCAGCTGTTTACCTAAAAATGCAGCCAAGGCGTTTTTAAACAAACATTTCAAACTATTTACAGAACAATCAGCTGTTCTGCATCAAATCTGATGCCACACAAATTATTTGTGCCACTCCAAAAAATAATTTCTGTCCACTATGAGATGAAGGAGAACAACAGCCTGATACCTGCAGGCCTGACAGCAGCAGATGTATCACTGCTGTAACACCTGTAACACTCAGCAGTCGCCTCATTGTTCTGACACACAACAAAACTGTTGACTACACTACACACTAACTACACACTAACTACACACTAACTACACAAGACAACACACTAACTTTAGACTCCAAACAGGCTAAACGTGGCAAATCTGTCACATCTCAAACACGCCGTCACTCCTAAAACTTCCCCCTCCCTAAACATCTAAATGTCATGTTGCCATATCATTTTTTGATTGGTCCACATGGTACATTTTTCCACCAATAGGAAAGGCTGGAGTTTTTTTGGTGTTGTTTTTGCTCACAGGCTTTCGAGCGTTTTCCTTATAAAACGCCGTTTTTACCGTTTCTTCCTGCAGTAAATATAAACAACGACAGTATTCAGGAAGAAAACCAAACATTGCAGATATTTTATCATAACTCTGGTTTTACGCGGCCGATCAACACAATTTAAAAACTGGTATAAAGTCCACACTTTGTCCGTCAGTTGTTCCGTCTGTCCTGCTCACATCTCCAATGGTTGTACACGTTGTCATTAACGTGGCTTCACTCCACATCAGCCGCTTTGCTAAAACACCTGTGTCGCACATAAGGACGCTGTCATAGCCTGTCAGCGACGTTGATTAGCTGCGTATATACGAATGTGAATCGCATCATTGGCTGGACTATGGGATAAGGTGGCCTCGTTCTGATCCCATACGGGAGCAGCCAGTCACTGACTAACACTGCAGAACAGAATTGTTAACGTTTTCATTTCAATTTCAATTCAGGTCAGATTTTTTTTTGTGCGCTACTCAGATTTTCTGTGCGCAGAGACGTGCCAGCAGTGCACAATTGCGCATGCGCGCAGCTTAGAGGGAACATTGGTGCTGGACTGTCTCAGCAGCACCTTTACACCGGGTGTTTCAGACCCAGCCTCTGTGGATCTTGGTGTTTTCTGGTGTTCATGCCCAGAAAGGGCGTGTCAGGGACATTATCTGGTCTGATCATCTGGATGTCCCTGACAGCTTTGAGCACTTATTAGCAAACGCATAGACATTGCACAGACAAGCAGCATGTTTACTGATGTTGGTGTGTTACAGGCGTGCACTCTGGCCCGGAGGAATGCAGAGGTGTTTCTGAAGTACATTCACAGGAACAATGTGAGCATGCCTGGAGCTGCCGGTCACACCAGGGGACCTGAGCAACAGGTTAAAGGTCAGTGCTGCTGATGCAGCGTGTGTGTTTCCATGTCCATGATAGGCGAGTTAGGAAGGTTGTGTAGCAGTTAGGGATGAACTCTGTGATTATTGTCCCTGATCTGTGTTGGTGTGCGCAGCTATTCTGAACGAGCTGCTGCAGAGAGAGAACAGAGTCCTTCACTTCTGGACATTAAAGAAACGACGGCTGGACCAGTGTCAGCAGTATCTGGTGTTTGAACGCAGCGCCAAACAGGTGAGTGTGTGAAGTCCAAAGAACGAACGCTCAGCTTTGACACGAGGCTCATCGTAGCTCTGGGTAACGCTTTATAGTAATCTTTTTTAATAAGTAGCACATTGATACTTATTTGCAGTAATGAAACAATAAAATGACAAAGGTTAATACTGTAAACACTGGGTGATTATTACAACGTTGCACAGAATGAGTAGAGTTTGCAGTGCACCTATAAACACTGTTTGAGTTAAGTTCATGCAACGCTGTTAAAAACACATCGTTTCATATTTCATGACTTTTTCAAATATGTGTTTGTATATTGGGAATTTTGGATGTTTTCAAACTCATACAACCAGTTGTGCTTCGAGCCGTACAGGGTTGTCATTCTAACACTATAGTCCGCGTTGCCTAGCAACACTTATTGTTTGCACACATTTTGGCTGTTTGTTAAGATGTGTTGGGCATTGAGACAGGCTACAGCGGGCAGGTAGCTGGCTGTGCAAAGCAGTGAGGGGCCGTAGCTGCACACAGGGTCCAGAACTGATGTGAGCAAATAAAGCAGGAAGTGTGCAGCAGAGTCAGACGCACAGCTGCAGACAGTCCAGAGCAGTGTGGACGGGAGAAGATAATAATGCATTTATTTTATTTAAAAGCACCTTTCAAGACATCCAAGGACACTTCACAGTAAAACACATAATAGAACAATGTCAACAACGAAGAACAATGAAAAACAAAAAGCAGAAGATAAAATAAACGATAAGTTCACAGCGAAAATGCAGATTTGAACAGATGAGCAGAGATTTAAACTGGAACCAGTGTTTCGTATATGTGGGGAGAGAGTTCCACAGCCTGCAGCAGAGAGGTGAGCAGGAGTGAGGTTATGAAGGCCTTGAAGGTGAGCAGAAGAAGTTTGTATATTATCCAGATTTTCACAGGGAGCCAGTGAAGTTCCTGAAGGACAGGAGTGATGTGCTGGTAGGAGGGGTTCTGCTGATCATGTGAGCAGCACAGTCTTGAACTTGTTGAAGCTGATGGAGGGGTTTATGGGGGAGACCATGCAAGAGGGAATTACAACAGTCAATGCGGGAGACTATGGACGAGACTGTGGACAAGAATGGATGCTGTGTGGAAAGAAAAGGACGTAATCTGTTAATGTTACGTAGATGGAAATAGAACAGTGAGATTATTGATGTGACATTTAAAGCATAGTGAACGGTCTGATGACACCAAGGCTCTGAACCCGAGGAGAAGGGAAACTGTGGAGCAACAAGGAGGATTTCAGTTTTATCCTCATTGAGTTTAAGAAAATTAAATGAATGGCTGAATGTCTGCTGCAGCCTGGTGCTGTGGACGCTGTGTTTTACTGTCCTATCACAACTTGTGTTGTTGTAGCTGAAACTGTGAGTTTCAAAGTGCAATAACATCGAGTCTCTTTTTTATACCTCCTGCATTTCAGCATAACTAATGCACCATTATCCAAATGATGTTCTTCTATACTCACTTATGAGGTAGCCGGTGTATAGTTTGTTGATCTAAATCATCGGTCAAAGCTTTGTTCAAAATTGTGACACGAAGTAACCTGTTTGCTGTTACTGCTGTTGTGGAGGATCGACGCCCTCTGGTGGTTCTAGGAGGTTTTGCATTGGTGTCTATGTTGAGGGTGGCAGTGGTGGAAAGTCCTAAAAAGCAGGAGATCACAGTTTGTGTCCTGTTTCTCTCACGTTGTCGTTCTTTTGCTTACCTTGGCTGTCAGGTTTGGGCACCATGGTTAGCTGTAGGAGCAGATCAGGATTTGGGTAAAGTTTGTTTGTTTGTTTGTTTGTTTGTTTTCAGCACTACAGTGTGGCGTGAGACTCAATACTGCATCACAAGATAGAAGCTAAAGGAAACCTTGTGCATGTCAAATATTTTGATTTCACAAAAACAACAAAGATAAATTAAAATGTTGCTAATGGTTTATAAAGATCGTTGATGGTTAAACAGCAGCCTGTTTCATGAACGTTCAGCTTTTTAATACTGGTTAGTATAAAGTGTTACCACTGTTGCGGGTTCAAATATTGAGGGTGAGCACAAAAACAACATTTGGTCCTGGAGAGTCGGTCAAACAATGATTTGTAATGAACACACGCGTGGGGAGATGAACACTGCACACAGACAGCATCGATCTCCGCCCAATGATACACAAGCAGTTGTTTTTATACCATCAGGGTTTACTTTTATGACGCCCCCTCATGCGTCAAAGCAGATACAACACATGCATAAGTTTCAAAACCACAGATGTTCTGTTGACGACTTTCGACACATTTAAAAGGACATCTTCTCCGTCTCGAGGCCAGGTGCTTCCTATTAATCTTCTAACTCTCGCTTATCTCCTGGAGCAAACTGTCCCTTATGCAGACATAATTTTGCAGCTACAAGCTTTTGCAAACTATTATTTGAATATTTGAACTCTTACCTAAACATGAGTCCAACTACTGTTTGCGTGTGTGTCTCGACCTCAAAATGCACTCGGCCTCACCCCGCCCGTTGATGCTTCTGGCCTTTTACCAGACTCTCTGTGATAGGTGTAATAATCATAACTAAGAACATGTGTAATCTACTGAATAAATGCTTTAATGAAATGATAATTAATGTAATGGTAATGATGGTTATGAATAGTAGCTGTAAAATATTTCCCTGATCTCCACACTCCGTCTCTTGACCACGAGGTCAAGAGGTCACCATACGTTGCGCTGTGTCACTCCTCGGCCCACTCAGCCGCTTCTATGTCCATTAATGGCATCATGGACATCGGGCCACCGCCCCGGGGTCCACTGCCCTCGTGATCACCTTTTCCAACAATCCTCTGGCACCAGGAATGAGAGGCACAGTTAACACAAAGGGGCAGGATCAACTCTATGTGTGGTGTTTTTGTGTTGTTGTGTGCAGGCACTGGATTGGATCCAGGAGACAGGTGAGGTTTACCTGGCCACGCACACGTCACCCGGTGACAGCAGCGAGGAAACACAGCAGCTTCTCAATGACTACCATCACTTCAGACTTTGTGCCAAAGTATGTCCTGTGTGTGTGTGTGTGTGTGTGTGTGTGTGTGTGTGTGTGTGTGTGTGTGTGTGTGTGTGTGTGTGTGTGTGTGTGTGTGTGAACAGACAGATGTTCACCCTACACACTCTGATTTGTATTTGGACTTCACTACCAGTCAAATGTTTGGACACACCTTCTCGTTTAATGGTTTTTCTTTATTTTTAGTTCTTTCTGCATCGTAGATACAAACTGAAGACATCAAATATCTGAAGCAGATTTATAGAATTATGTAGCAAAGCTCTGTAAAAAACTCTAAAGTCTCATATTTTAGATTCCACCCTTTCTTTGTTGACAGCGCTGCAAACCTTCTCTCAGGTTTCACCTCACAGGTGAGCCTGTCAGGGTTCATGGTGGGGTTTGTTGCCTTCTTAATGACGTTGGGACCATCAGTTGTGCTGTGCAGCAGTCAGGTTGGTGCACAGCTGACAGGCCTGTTTGACAACTGTTAGGATTCATGTTACGGCGAAAACCAATCAGCTGAGTAAAGAGAAACAACAGCCCATCATTGCTTTAAGAACTGAAGGTCAGTCAGTCGGAAAACTGCTAAAACTTTGAATGTGTCCCCAAGTGCAGTCGCAAAAACCATCAAGACCACAATGAAACTGTCTGACATGAGGACGCCCCAGGAAAGGAAGACCAGGAGTCCCTCTGCTGCTGAGGATACGTTCATCCCAGTCACCAGCCTCACAAATCACAAGTTAGCAGCAGCTCAGATCAGAGCCCAGATAGATGCCACACAGAGCTCCAGTAGCAGACACATCTCTGCATGTTCAGAGGAGACCGTGTGAATCAGGCCTTTATGGTCAGACAGCTGCTGAGAGACCACGACTGAGGAAAAGCAACAAGCAGAGATTTGTTTGGGTCAAGAAACACAACGAATGGACTTTAGACCATCTGTGCTTTGGTCTCATGAGTCCAAATTGGAGATGTTTGCTTCCACCTGCCGTGTCTTTGTGCAACACAGAAAAGGTGAACGATGGTCTCTACGTGCATGGTTCCCTCTGTGAAGCATGGAGGAGGAGGTGTGATGGTGTGTGTGTGTGTGTGTGGGGGGCTTTGCTGGTGACACTGTTGGAGATTTATTCCAAACTAAAGGCAGACTGAACCAGCACGGCTACCACAGCATCCTGCAGCCACATGTCAGGGCAGCACAATGACCCCAAACACCTCCAGGCTGTGTGAGAGCTGTTTGACCAAGAAGGAGAGTGATGGAGTCCTGCACAGTCACCTGACCTACACCCAGTGGAGATGGTTTGGGATGAGATGGAGCGCAGAGTGAAGGCAAAGGACCAACAAGTGCTCAGCATCTCTGAACTCCTTCAGGACTGTTGGAAACCATTTCAGGCGACGACCTCATGCAGCTCACTTTTTGTTTACTGCATAATTCCATGTGTGTGTTCATTGCCTTCAATGAGAATCTACAATGTAAATAAACATGAAAACAAAGAAAAACCATTAAAGGAGAAGGCATGCCCAAACTTTTGACTTTACTAGGCTTAAAGTTTTGGTTTGCATCAATTGTTTGGTAATTTTCCACTTTCACACGTGGGAGTCTGACAGCAGAGCGGTGAGGTGGTGCTGGGTCATCGACACCTCACAGCTTTCAAGCAGTTGAGGGATGATTATAATCAATCCTCAACATGTAAAGAGTGCAAAATCAGGAAAGAATCTGAATATAGTGAAAATAGTGATTAATATTAGAGGATGAGTAGACTGTTAACTGCTTCTAATAAAACTAAACACTCTGAGCAGGATTTCCTGGTCAAACATGGGAAAATGTTACAGTTCAACTCAAAATGTGTTTGTAGAGCACATTGAAGAACAACAGAGTCGACCAAAGTGCTTCACAATCAGTTAGAACAACAGAAAACAATAGAGGAACAAATTTAGATAAATAAGACGACAGTGAATTAACAAGAAAAACATCAAACAGGCCTGATGGTACTCAGGGTCAGCCAGGGTCAAAAAGTGAGTTTTAAGACGCGATTTAAAAGACTGAACCGAGTCTGACGTACGAGTCTCCTCTGGCAGATTCTTCCAGAGTCTGGCTGCTGCTGCCCGAGCTCCTCTGTACTTCAGTCCAGACCTGGTTGTGCTAAGAGCATCTCAGTGCTCTTTTGGGGTCAGACATGTTGAGGAGTTCATTTAAATAACAGGGCGCCATATTATTTAAAACTTTCAATCTTAAACTCGATATTTTACAGGGAGCCAGTGTAATATACTTACATATCTATATTATTGCTAATATATATTGTAATATATCTATATCACTAAAGCACTTCTGGATGGATGCAAACTGCATTTCGTTGCCCTGTACCTGTGCATGTGCAATGACAATAAAGTTGAATTCTATTCTATTCTAAATTTGCTAAAACTGGAGTTACTGATAAATGCAGACACTCCACAGATAGACGTGAACACCTGCAGTGAATAATCTCCAGCGTGACAGAAGAGAAGCAGCTACATCCACTGGTTTCATCTTTGTGCAGAAGGATGTATATGCGGTCATAATGAGCCCACACAGAGTGGGACCTGACAACAGATACGAGATATTCAAAGATGTACTTACAAATGTCCCACAAGGTATTAGTGTGTTTCACAAAGGGCCACATAGGGATGCTGAACATCAGCAACTCCTCAGCTTCTGTAATTTGTGTGTCTGGCAACATCCTGCAGCAAACCAAGGAGAAGGTGAAGCTGCTGATCCAGCTGGCAGACAGTCTGGTGGAGAAGGGGCATGCCCACGTGCTGGAGCTGAAGCGCTGGGTGAGCACGGTGGACCGCAGGTACCGTGACTTCTCTGCACGGATGGGCAAATACCAGGAGAGCCTGGAGAGGAGCCTGGGAATGAGCTCTGAGGTGAAAACAGCAACACACACTTGTGCCAGTGCAGTCCCAGAAACATCTTCTGATTACTGGCAGAAATGATGTTCTCTGTGCAGGACAACAAAGACCTGGAACTGGACACCATCCCTGCCAGCCTGACAGATGACCCGGAGGTCAAACTGCGTGACCCCAACCATGAGGTCAACGAGGAGAAGAGGAAGTCTGCCAGGAAGAAAGAGTGAGTTTGGAAAGAAAGGAGGACCGAGTCATCATCATGTGTCACTACAGTAGTTCACCTCGTTCGATCGCAGCCACTCACATCCACTCACATCCACTCCACAGACGAGGTCGCCTCTGCTCCTGTACAGGTCACGGGTGTGAAAACAACACAAAGTTATGATACATACAGATTCGGTGGGGGTATTACTGCAGTGACTTCAGCTGTCTTCTGTTAGAGTGGCTGCTGTCTGTGGAACCGTCACACGTTAGCTAAACCAAAGTCTGCACACTGACGTGACGTGAATGCATCCTTACAGCTGTGCTGCTTTCAGCCTTCACGTGTTTCTGAGGATCAGTCTTTGGTTTGCGTTTTAGTCTCAAGTCTTTTCCTGTCTCAGGTTCATCATGGCAGAGCTCTTGCAGACAGAGAAGACCTACGTCAGAGACCTTCAGGAGTGTTTAGAGGTGAGAACAACGAGCGAGTTTGTTTGTGGACATTAGTACGTTTGTGCTGTGTGGCTGACGGCTCTGTGTGCCCGTCAGACGTACCTGTTGGAGATGACCAACGGTGTAGAGGAGATCCCACCTGGCATTGCTAACAAAGAGCACATCATATTTGGTAACATGCAGGAGATATATGACTTCCACAGCAAGTGAGTGACGTTTAGATTAGGTCTGCAGCTGAATGTGCTGTCTGTGTGTGTGTTCAGTTGAGCTCTGAACCCTGTTAATATACTGTGTGTGTTCATGCATGGGCCACACCCCCCAGCTGTCCACGACAAACTCATTTGTGTCTCATCTCTTTGTGGTCCCTGCACAAACCCACGCATTAGTTCAATGAGCAGCAACGCTTTAAACTCATTCACAGCATCTGGAGGTTTCACATATCACCATTCTGAACAATGTCTGTGTTACTTTAAAGTCTTGAGTGATTTACAGTAAAAATATACAGTCTGTTTGTTTGTGTCTTTGCAGTATTTTCCTAAAGGAGCTGGTAAACTATGAGCAGCTTCCAGAGGACGTGGGTCACTGCTTTGTCACCTGGGTGAGAGTCACAGTGGAAACACTGTTCAGAAAGCTTTCGAGTATCATAAGTAGCTCCTAGTGACGACATTGTAAGTGTTATTTTAGGCTGGGACTACATTCAAAGAGCAGGTTAGCCCCTAAACTTCCTCTTCTCTTAAATAAACCTCCTGAAAGCTGTCAGCAGAATATGAAGAAAGGACAGCTGTGACATCAAAGTTGAAAGGAGGCTGTATTCTTGTGTGATACTGCAACAAATCACAAGATGGCGCTGTGGTCAGCGAGTTAGCGTATCTGTTCTGGTAGGTGACAAGCCCGTAGGACTGCTTCTGTCCACAGTGAGGCTTCGGTCTGTTCACATGAAGCACTGCTAGGATTGAGCACAGTGTGAGCAAATGACTGTGCTCGAGGTCATGCTGGGCAGTTACAGGCACCTCCATCTTCACAGGAAACTGGCACACAGTGAAGAAATGATGGAGCTGTGACTCTGCAGCTCACCAGGAACAGAACAAGCAAGAAAAAGAATTAAAATGCAGCATCCAAAGCACAGAGTGGCTGCAGTGGAGAGGTTTTTATGTTACAGCTCTGCTGCTCGGTGCAGCTGAAGGTCAGCAGAGCAGCGCCCACACGGCAACACAAAAAATAAAACAGCCATTTAAGAAGCCATTAAAGCAGAGCAAAGACAAAAGACAGGATCTCAGTGAATGCATGAAACACTGTCCTGCAGTCATGCTTCTTATCTGTTTAACCTTCATCGGCAAAGTGTGCACACACAGTATCAGCTGTTTTATTCTATCACGGTTATTTTGGGGCATTTTTATGCAGCTGTTGGATGGTTGAGCAGTGATGAAAGACAGGAAAGTGGGGAGAGAGGGGAAAGACAAAGGACTGCAGGTGTGAGTCAAACCTGCACCGTGGCCACGTGTCACACTGAGCTGAACTGGCGTCCCAGGTAGCTGTAAGTGTAAGCAGGACGTAAAGCTGCCTCCTCTCCTTTTCCAGGCTGATAAGTTCCACATATATGTGGATTACTGCAAGAACAAACCAGACTCCAGCCAGCTGATCCTGGAGCACGCAGGCACCTTCTTTGATGTGAGTATCACAGCACCATCGACGCTTCTTGTCCCCGCCTGTCGTTTTCTTTTGATTGACATTTGATTGTTCTGGGAAAAAATATAAAATCATGTTACATCTGTATCTCCATGTTTGTGAAGCTAACATCTGTCTTATGTTTGATATATTAAAGTGGCTTCGAAGCAGGACACTTGCTGAGTTAGTTACTGAACAGCTTGTGAAAACATAGAGCAGCTGACTGCAGCTCCCAAACACTCGAGCTGATGAAGAGGAGGAAGCTTCACTTTATAAATGACGATGTACTTTTCTAAGAACGAGTCAGATTTCTCAGTTTCATTTGCAAATGCTTGTTTAGCATTTTTACAGCATTAGCTGGCACGTTCTGGGCTCCTTTAAACTCGGGCGACCAATTGTCCTCTTTTTGCACTTGCTGTAAAAGCCTGAGTGACATGTTTTATTTCATGAACCGCACCGAGGAGGCATCGTTTAAATATGTCATATAGCGCTTTTTTACTCTTCTGAGCACTCAACTTGTGCATTCACCCATTCACACGCATTCACACCCATACTGCATTGGATAGCAATTTGGGCAAGTTGCTCTCTAGTATCTTGCCCAAGGATATTTGGCATGCAGGCTAGGGGAAGCCAGGAATTGAACCACCAACCTTCCGATCAGTAGATGACCTGCTCTACTGCCTGAGCTACAAGTTTTTCATGACTGGGCCAATCGGCCTCTTTTTTGGGAATCAAAGTATGGTCACGGTTTTTTAACCCCATTAAAAGCTCCTTCAGTGTACCTGACGCCGTTTTTATACTAAAGAAGCTGATTGGATCAACACACACTCGCTGTGTTACACTCAGCGTGCCGGGTTCATTTGTCGAGCACATGTGGAAGACAAATAGACTCAGTGGCATGCTGTGATTTCTCCCTGTACGCACAAACATTGTGTAATTGCTCTTCTGTCAGCAAATGGTGCTGTTGCACTGACGTTTACAAGCGTTGGACACTTAATATACACATTTCTGCTGTGTGCAGGAGATTCAGCAGAGACGAGGACTGGCTAACTCAATCTCCTCCTACCTCATCAAACCGGTCCAGAGGATCACCAAGTACCAACTACTGCTAAAGGTGAACAGAACCAGTGTGGGTGAATCCGCCCACGCGCTGAGTGGGAACTCGTAGAACGTGTGGTTTAAATGGACCAAATATTTATAGATCGATCCCCTTTCATCAGTTTTAACATCTCGTCCTGTCCTCCTGCAGGAGTTATTGTCCTGCTGCGAGGAGGGAAAGGGAGAGATCAAAGACGGTTTGGAGGTGATGCTCAGCGTTCCTAAGAGAGCAAACGACGCCATGCATCTCGCCATGTTAGAGGGTAAGAGACCGTCCTCGCACACTTCCTCCTAGCACCGATGTGAAACATGGTTGTTCATGCTTGGCTCTTCTGTAGGCTTTGAGGAGAACCTGGAGGTGCAGGGTGAGCTGATCCTGCAGGACAGTTTTCAGGTTTGGGATCCACGCTCGCTCATCAGGAAGGGTAGGGACCGGCACCTCTTCCTGTTTGAGTTCTCTTTGGTCTTTAGCAAAGAGATCAAAGACTCAGCTGGCAGAACCAAGTACCAGTACAAGAACAGACTACTGGTGAGCGGGTGGTTTCAGCCACGACTGATGTTCTCGCTGTGTTTGTGTCCACATACATGTAGAAATAGCCGTTGTTGCTTTAACTGTACCCCCTCCCTTACTCTTCCCGCAGACGTCAGAGTTGGGGGTGACTGAGCACATTGAGGGTGACCCTTGTAAATTTGCTGTGTGGGCTGGAAGAACCCCATCCTCTGATAATAAAACTGTGCTGAAAGTACGTGAAATTAAATGTAAACGAAAGTCTGGGCTCTCTGCTTTCATCAGCTGGGATATTAAAGCTGTGACTTCTCCAGGCATCCAGTATGGAAGCTAAACAAGACTGGATTAAGAACATCAGGGAGGTGATCCAAGAGAGGATGACTCACCTGAAGGGGGCGCTTAAGGAGCCGCTTCACCTGCCTAAAACACCAGCACTGACCAAACCCAGGAATAATGCTAAAAGGTGAAGAAACACATACTTTTGCTGGGATTACAGTAGCACACAGATTGATGGATGAAGGTTGGAGCCCCGGCTCCGACAGTCTCGGTCGTTGTGTCCTTGGGCAAGACACTTCACCCGTTGCCTACTGGTGGTGGTCAGAGGGGCCGATGGCGCCAGTGTCCGGCAGCCTCGCCTCTGTCAGTGCGCCCCAGGGTGGCTGTGGCTACAATGTAGCTTGCCATCACCAGTGTGTGGATGTGTGTGTGAATGGGTGGATGACTGGATATGTAAAGCGCTTTGGGGTCCTTAGGGACTAGTAAAGCACTATACAAATACAGGCCACTTACCATTTACCATTTACCGTGGATTCACCGTGACAGAAACACAAGCGTGGGCACAAAGGGAGCGGTAGGACTGTCCTGTTATTACCGTCACAGATATGTGGAAGACTGAAGCTGCTGAAAAATAGAGAAATAAGCAGCGTTTATTTTAACCATTGAGTGCGATGACTCAGTGTTAGCCTCACAGCAAGAATATCGTGGGTTTGTGTGGAGCATTATGTGTGGGCGTACTCCGGCTTGTACCTGCAGTCCACACACATGCAGTTAGTGGGGTTAGGCCGTAAACTGGGCGTAGGTGTGCCTCGCCTCTTGCCCTGTGGAAGCTGAGAGAGGCTCCAGGCCCCCTGACCCTTAACTGGATAAGCAGGAGGAAGTGAATGGGTTCTAATTTACACGATGAATGAAGATCAATGTTTGTATTCATGTCGTTGTCTTGATCCAATTACAGGTTTCAGATAAACAGCAGTTATTTTAAAGTGTGCCACAGACATAAAGTCCTGTAACTTAACAGCAACCCATTCTGTGACATCACATGTGCATCACATGAGTAGAGCTAGCTTAGCCGTTTCTGCTGGGTGGAACGGGAATCGGACCAAAAGGACATACAGAGGACATGGAATGATATGAAATGTGTAAAAAAATGATTGTTAGCCTCGTCAGTAAGACCTTTCACATTCATCCTGGTTGTGCTGTATGTTTCTGCAGGGAGGGAGGTGAAGACGGAGACAGTCAGGGAGACGGCAGCAGCCAACCAGACACCATCTCAATTGCATCCAGGACATCCCAGAACACTGTAGACAGCGACAAGGTAGGAAACACCGTCGCTGAGCATCTGACGAGCTGACGACCCACAGCTGTATCAGCGCTACAGGGTTTCCTGTGCAGCTTAAATGAGCAGCAGCAGGGGCTGGGCATGCTCACTGTTTGGAGTGTGTGTTCAGTTCACACATGTGAACGAGAAGTCATCAACAATGCTGCCAGAAAAACAATCAGTTGTGAAAGCCCTTTTCAGGCTGTGTGCAGGCACCTGCACGGACTCCTACCAGGCAGCCTCTGACATCAAAGTAAGACCTTTTGTGTTGCTGCTTTAACTGTATGAAGGTGCAGAATCCAGGTCTTATCTTATCGCTGTTTTTCACATTCTTATGTTTAACTTGTCCAGTTACTCGGAGCCATAGACACAAACACTCAGACTGAGGACGGACACTTGGCTCCAAACTGTTTTCACTCTGTGCACTGATGACATCACATTCGCTGCAGCTCAGTTTTATGTTTGTCAGCGATAATTAAGCACAGGATCACATGGTCAACTGCACAGATAGATGATAGTCTCATTTCCGTCTGTGTCAGTCGCAGGTGGAGGTGTGTTCGTACACGTTCACTGCCAGAAACAACTTTGGCCTCTTGAGCCTTTCCTCTGCTACGAGATCTCCATCTTGAGAGCTTTTTAGGCGGTTTGTTTTATTTTTTCCTTTTTAAAAAATGTTTACTTCATCACGAGGATGAGCTCCTTATATGAAGAAGCGCAGTGAATATGAGCAAACAATCAAAAGGGCATAAACGTAGACATGAGTTTGGTGCGATTCTTGTCTTGGCTGTTTGTCAGCTGCTTGGATTTGACCAGTTCTATCACATATATTCACACACCTACACACACACACACCTACACACACACACCTACACACACACACCTACACACACACACCTACACACACACACCTACACACACACACGGAAAACCTGACACAGATGTCAGTCATGGCCTCCTGCTGTAGAGTTACATGGTGTGTCCTTTTCACAGTGCAGCCCTCACGCCTACACGCTGGCTCGCCTCTAAATGTCAGCAGCACACACAGAATCACACCAGACTCGGTTTGTCTGAAACATGCGTCCACACTGTGCATGTATACGCCATCAATCCCACAGGCAGCTACGCTCTGACCTGTGTTTTTTACATGTGTGTGGACCCCACCTCTTTCTGTCCAATGAAAACAGAATGAGTTTTTCCAGTCCTTTCTGAGTGTGGGCGTGTTGTTGCTCTGCTCTGGTTTATTGTTTCTAGGATTTAGAAAACTCCAGCTTGCCTATTTTTGGAGCCTCCTCTGCTGTTGTCCAAAAAACCAAACCTCAGAAGTAAAAAAGCTTTTGTCCTGCAGTTTGCTCTGATTTATTTCACAGCTTCAACCGTGAGAGTCACATGTCTTTATTTCTGGTTCCTGAGTCTTTACATTGAGCTGTTTTGTAATTTGGTGGTAAAATAGGGACAGAGCTGTGTTTTCATGCTAATGATGCTAAAGTCCTTTGCTTAGAGCTGTTTGTCTTTTCTTGCAGTTCATGATTGTAGTTGCTGGACGAGTATTTTCCCCAGAAGCACAATGAAACATTGTTTTTTGCTCATGTGTCAAGGCTGATGCTGTAATCGTTTGTTGTGTTCCCATGGCTCTGCTGACCCGCAGGGATTTATTATCATACAAGTGCATCAATCCCTTGTGTATCGTGGAGACAACTGTATTAAATCAATGATCTGAGCAGACATGTTTGTTCAGTACAGCAGTCGTTCTTAATGTGTACTCATTGGTTCTCTCAAACTTCTCCATCAGCAGTCTGAAGCACTAAAATGTTCTCAAATCAAATCTCATTACTTTATATGTGTGAAATGTGACTGAATTCATTAGAAAGCTTCTTACAATCTGTCACTCAGGCTGCGTTTTTCTTTGGGAACTGTTTTTGCAGTTTTTTAAATATTCAGTCAATCACGCAAGGAAGAGCATGCAAGTGAACGGCTGTAAGCAAGAAGTAGTGTCCCTAGAAAAGATAAAGTAGTCAGTGTGACCCAGTCCTGGAGAAAGCTCCAACCTAGATGAAGGCCAAGCATGAGTAGTGGTCAGAAGAAGGGAAGAAAGGTAACTGGGGACAAACCGAGCCAATCCCGCTTTGCCTGCTGTGCAGGGACCAATTCAGGGGACAAAGACAAAGACAGGGACCAGTTTGCTTTTTGGGACATTTTTGTTTGGTGATGTGTGAATTTCCTATGTGCTGTGGCTCTAAAAGGTTGGGAAACACTGCTCTATGTAGAGGGTTGTAAACTGTGTGGTATTGGATTTTCACTCTCATGTACGCCTCAAACCTGACTGATCGTTGGCAGCAGGCGCTGTGTGCAGTCTGTAAACAGTTCAGCAAACTGTCACAGACATTTTTAAGTTAATTGATTTTGGCAAATAAGCTGATCAGGCTTTGCACTTACATACAAGTTTCTGAGTTAACAGCTGTGTGACGGCGGCTCACAGGACAACAGCTTCAAGCTGCTTCATAGTGGTCGTAGTGAGAAAGTTTCAGCTGTGAAGACTTCGAGCTGCAGCAAGAAAGCCAGACACCAGAATAAAACAAAGAGGCTTGTTAAGACAGCCACACTGGACTACTGAAGACTGGAGGAAGGTTTTATGGACTGATGAATCAAAACTTGAAATCTTTCGTTCATCGTGCAGGATCTTTGTACGGCGTCAAGAAGGTGAAAGGACGGTTCCACAGTGTGTGGCATCAACTTCAAACATGGAGGAGGAAGGGTGATGGTCTGGGGCTGTTTGCTGATCCAGGGTCAGTGACTGAACCTAAACAGCTACCACAGCACCATGAAGCACCATGCAGCACCCTCTGGTATGCACCCAGTTGGTCGGGGGTTCATCCTACAGCAAGATAATGACCCAAACCATCAGTCCAAGCTGTGCCAGAACCACCTCAGGAACAAGAACAAGATGGTGAGCTTGCAAACGTGGAGTGTCCAGCACAGTCTCCAGACTGAAACCCCATCGAGCTGGTTTGAACTGGACAGAAGAGGGAAAGCAAAGCAGCCTACGAGGTCCACGTTTATGGGAACTTCTGCTACAGATGTGTGAGAAGATCTGGGGCCTGTTCTTCGTACGTCGCTTACTACATCCAAGATCAAACGACACATCCAAGATCAAATGACACATCCAAGATCAAATCATCGCGCTAACCGTGAGCTCGCTAATCCGGTTCCCCGAACACACCTGCTGTTGACGATTACTACAGCTGGATGAAGTAATGCGCGATCACTGGGTGTCGTA